GGAGGGGCCCGCTTTGTTGCTGGGGGGGGGGGGGGGGGGGGGGTGGGGGCCGTGCGCAGCTGCGGGATGGCCGCATTCGTGCTGGGCGGGGGGAGATGGTCGCGATTGCGCCCATGTTCCCTGCCCAAGCGCACCCGCACACACCTCCTGCATGCCCACGCCTACTTCCCCCCAGCGCACCCGCAATTGTGCCTGTCTCCCCCCCCCCCCCCCCCAACCGCTGGGGCGGGGAAGGTGGCCGTGATCTTTGTTGTTCTTTGCCACTTTGCTTCACATTTTTGTGAATAAAAAAGTAGTTGCAGAATGGATTAACCTTATTTACATTGACCCTTATGGGGAAATTTGACTTGGCCCACAACCAATTTGGGTCACAACCAGAGTCCTGGAATGGATTAAGTTTGTGAGCCAAGGTACTATTTAAGTGTGTATCCTGAGTTCTGTCACATGCAGCTTCTGGAGGCACTGTAGCCATCCATCCTCTATGTGTGAACTAATGAGTAAGATGACATAGGCAGGGAGTGCTATATCTTGGGAATGAATTTCAGGCACAGTGGCTAATGGAATACATGCCAACAAAGGGAGGACTCAGCAGAGATGATGGAAGCAACAATAGAATAGAAACCACTTAATCATCTATCAGGTAGATAATCATTTATTAAAAAAAACCAAATCCATGGTAACCATGCAGGATTGCTTGTGGTGCTGTATAAACCCAACCACTATGATAAACCATGGTGGCTTATTAGCTAGGAACGGTTTGTTGTTTTGTCTGAACCAACAGGGTGGTTTGTTAACTGCTCTTACTGGGTTTAGACATCACAAAAAAGACATCCCTGGCTAATAAACTACCATGGTTTATCATATTGTGTGAACCTAGTTATTTACATATACTCAAGAATTAAGGGTGGATTGAGTACGGGTTTTTGTTGACTCCTGGGCCATTGTATGTTTTGAACCCAGCTGTGCTAACAAGCCATAGCTTCTTACACAAACCACCAACTAAAAGATACTATGGTTTGTTATCTCTCATTTCTGCTTTATCAACTACACCAAAAGAGAAATGAAGGAGACAGAAGGTAAAAAGAGCATCATGGACTGCTCCAGGGATTTCTTTCTTACCAGGGATTAATGACATCAGCTGCCATGTGAGAAGGAACATCAAATGCTGGCTCCAGTTCCAGTGCTTTTGATTGTGATACAGTTAAGCATGTGGTTTATTTTATATCTGTACAATACTTTACACCAGGAGTTGGTAACATCTGGTACTCCACATGTTGTTGGACTATAGTTCTCATTAGCTCTAGCCAACACTGTCAAGGGTAATGGATGCCAACACCTACAATTCAAGAACATCTGGAGGGTTGCATATTCATCATCCCAGTTTTACACTTACTTATGCTGAATATTTGTTTCAGCTGCTGTTTTAGAAAGAGGGCTGGATTTTCTACCTAGCCACTTCATTGCCTCTGCAAGAAAGGAGAAAAAGTAATTTACCATTGCCAGTTATCCCAGGAAGATGAAGGGTTCAGTCGAGAAATAACTGGGTATTTGTACAATTAACTGTCAATAATAATGTACTAATTCCCTTTGATTTCCTGAACTGGCAACTATCATGTGCTTTCTGATAATTGATCAAGGGAGGTTTGATGGGGCAGGGGGAGATAAAAGGAACACAGAATAATGCAAACAATAAAAAATCAGTAAAACTACAGAGCAAACTGAACCTACAGAACCAAAAGGTAGTACAACACAAAAGAAAACAGAAGGAATAACCCTAGGCCCTAGACATCATTTTTGGGTGTGAGGGAGGAAATTCTGGATTCCCGAATTCAAGGTCAGAGATAGAAGCCCAACACAGAGCCCAGAATACATGCTGCTGCCCACCATCCCATCTTTGTAGTTGACATAAAATGAACCATGTTGGCTACTTCTAAGAGGTCCTGCAAATACTGAAGTGGTTGTTCTGGTTCTAGCCACCCAGATCCTGAAAAGAAACTGAAGAGGTCAGGGTATGACATATACTTTATCCTTTTAAACTCTTCAAACAAATGGTTCAAAGGCACAAAAGGATAACATACCTGAGGTAACAGAAATACAAAGAAGGTACAGAAGGATTCCCAGGTGGCCTCTGTAGCGATTTTGGGTCAAAACAATGGTGTTTGGATAACTATCCAGAGTTATCACAATGGCAAAAGATGCATTATTGCTAAAAGAGGGCTCTGAGCCTATAGCTTTTCAGTTATTATATCCTTTTTCAAACACTGAAAACTACCTGAATGAGATCTCTCCCAGAGCCTTTTCTGTTTATGAGACATCAGAGTTTTGGTACATATGCAAAATGCATTTATCACAGTTGAAGCATATGCTAATAAAAATGTGATCTTGTGTTGCACACTAATGCAGTTGCAGGAAAAGCAGGAGTTGAAAAGTGGATGCATGCAAGGAAACAGCTGTTAAAAACAAGTCCATTACCTAGGCAAAATGCAAAATAAAAGGAAAAACAAAAATGCAAGTCCTTCTGCCCCTTTGCAAAAAAAAAATGGAGAAGGGGAGAGGTGCAGGAGAGGCTATAGTGCTGCTTGCTGTCATCTTCCTATGCAGTAAAGCCCACAAGACAAATACCCCCATTTCCCTCCACACAAATGCAAGCAATTGCAGCCCCAAATGTGCTGACTTTTCCACAAATAAACTCCACTTAAGTCAATATGATTTACTTATTAGTAAGTATGCTGAAAATAATGTAATTCACTTCCAAGCAGACATGTGTTTCAACCAGATGCGCTTGAGGCAAAGGTTAGACCAGAAAGGCTGAAAAAGACACCACAAATTTTAATTTTCAAAGGAGGTATTTGCAAGTCAGAGAGAGAGTGAGAAAACCCATGGGAGTGGGAGGTAGGAGAGCAAGTGAACAGTATCCTCAAAGTTGAATGCACTTCTTCTTTTTCTTGGCCCTAGCCATCCTCTTGGCTCCAGAATAGTACTGCAAGTTTAGCACACATTGAAATATACATGAGTGGAAAAAACACAACATATACACAAATGTGATATAACCAGTCTGAAGAAATTTAGGATATAATGGCAGAAATAATGCAGGTAGAAGTGTGGGGTGAATGTCATGTGATATGCCAGTGAATTAGACATTACAATGGCAGTATATGTGCCATTTTAAACAGGGACAGTGATTTAATCACATTCTGGGGCAGCTAAATGCATATGTAATTGCCTTCATGTGTTCTCATTCTAGGGATACTGAATAGCTGCAGTTTTAATTATATTGCTTTGTTAGATCTGATCTTGCATATATGACCTGCAGGGCTAGGCAAGATCACTTTGCTGTCACTTTCCCCACTCTTATCTTGCTGTGTTTAAATACGGCTTTACTAAAGTTACTACTTCCAACTCCCTCAGGAGCCAACGCCTGCCTTATTGCTAAGCAGCCTGCCCATAGCACAGTGTAATCTAATCTGATAGTAGTGGCTTTCCAGGTCACAGGCTGAGGTCCTTCCCAGCCCTATTCCTGAGATACATTTAACTAGAACAGGAATAGCACAGATCAGACTTCAGATCTTGCACACACAAAATATGTGCTCTATTTAATGCTCATGAGAGTTACAGAGTAACAGGCAAACAAAGGGAGGAGTGTAGAATGCTAGGAAAATGTAGACTGAGAATAACGCTTCCGGTTAAAGCTGTAAAGATGAAGCAGATGAAAGAAAGGGAGATTCATGGAAGATGGTAACTATCACATAAGAGGAAAGCAGTAGAAGAACAAAATTTATAGAAGAGGATATTTCTGTGACAAACAGTTGCCCAGCTAGTTATAAATAATCAACTCTGTTGTCACCTAACCAAGCTAGTATAATTAATAGTGATTAATGATAGGACTGATGATGTGGGCCAAAATGTCTACAGGGCCAAATGATGGCCACTCCTGGAGGAAAGAAATTTTAAATTTCAAACACCCACTGGCATGACTGAAATTTGGTTGCCAGTCTATTTCTCTTCATGCATAACGATTGCTCCTTGCTCTATTATTTCTAATTCATTAGTACTTCACCTTTCTCCTTTGTTTAGACTTTGAAGAGAGCTCATATTTTCACAATGTTAATCTAAGAAACAACATATAAAAGACAGCTCAAGAAATTAATATAGGAACTTTGGCCCTTCCCATTGAAGAGAAAGTTTAATTAAGTGGAACTTTCTTTGATGCAAATATGCATTTAAGGTACACTGATATGCTTGTTGAGATAGAAAATAAAGTCCTACAACTCCCTGCATGCTTCATTGTGCCACGTTGGCAGTGATAAGGCTTTCTTGTCTAAACATGCATAGCACTGCACCTTTAAATGGGCTGCACAACCAAATAATTTTAGCAAATTAAGTCCAAAAGTTATTTCCTTTCCACCCAATAAATCTCTCATTGGCATGACTATTACATTGAATCTATATTCCACTTTTTTTTCTCCCTTATGAGGAATCTAAGGGGGATTGCATAGTCCTTTTCCATTACATTTTACCCTCAGAACAACCTTATAAGGTGAGTTGAGCTGAGAGGGTATGATTGACCCAAAATCACCCAGTGAGCTTAATGCTTGCGTAGAGACTAGAATCGCCAGTTCAAGAAGAAACCCCGCTTAATCTGCACGTAGTATAAATATATTCTATTTTCTGTATTTTTAGTGCAACTTCCTAAACATTCGACTTGAGACAGTCCCTCACCCTCCAGGAAATGCGCTTCTATTACCCTCTCAACGCTGACTAAACAGCCTCAAGTCTCTGCTCCTCAGGAGCTCCAGCGAGCAGAGGCACTCACTACAGTACATGCGCAGATCAAGGCTATAGAGTGAAAGGGGAGGCGGAGCCAGAAGAAACGAAGGCTGCTGAATCAAAGGATAAGCGCGCTGCAGCCGAGTCTCTTAAACCGTCATTTCCGGCTTCCAGGCTCTGGATCCGGGTCAGATTTAGGTCCTAGCCATAGAGATGCTCATGCAAGCAGTTCCGGCTTACTTCCGTAGGGTTCTACGTCTCTTTCCTTTCCAGAGAGGAGGGGAAGAAAACAGAGGAGGCCCCTAGGTTCGGAGCACGCTGGGCCTTGCTCAGTCGGCTGCCCCTCTTGAGCTCGCCAAGCACGTACCCCGTCGGAGTAAGTTCAAAGAGCTTCTTTGGGTTGCCGGGGCGCCGGCGGAAAGAACGTGGGCTGCCTCTGGCGTCTGGCCGGCCAAGTGTCGGCTCCTCTGGTTCTTCTCTTTCATTGGGAGCTCGGCGCCAGTCCCGGTCGAATTTGAATGGGTGGGAAAGGGAAGACGAGTTCAGTTTTGGAGACGTCAGTTAGGACGTTTGGGGTTCTGAGGCAGGGAACAAGTGGCGATCGATGAGCTTGGGAAGGTACCGCTCTGGTGCAAAAGAGGCTCTCGGAAGGTTCAAACGGGGTCTTTGGGAAATCTTAACGAAAGTCGAGACTGCCTTACGGTGATGGCGAGTTGTTTATAGTGTTAATTCGCTTATTTCTGTACTGCGGTTTCTGCAATACATTGTTGCTGCAAATGCTTCATAAAGCGAACACATGCAATCGCTGTAATTATAACGCAACTTTAATTCAATTACAGTTCCCTTAAAATGTCTCAAGTGTTTAGCTTACAAAATACACCGGCAGGGCAGAGAGATCCTTAGAAGCCTGGCGAGTTGCATGTGTCAGTTCCTGTAGTTTTGGATTGTTTATGCACCCTTCCCTCAAATAACAGTGGATGAAGGTAATGGTATTTATAAAGGTTTTGTTTTCTCCTTAGTTTGGGCCTTCCCTAATGACTGTGTTAATGTACAATGAACCATACAACTTTGAAGCCTTGCATATGCTTCCCAGCTATTCAAATAGTGTGAAGGAATAACCTGAATGTGCACAAAAGTGTCTCAGGCTTTGTTGGTGGGTTATTCAGTTCCCTCATCCAAAGGTTCTAATAGCTTTTACTGGGGTGGGGAGAATGTTACATCTGGAGGAACAGTAATTTCAGACAAGTTTCTTGGAATGACGGGTTGCCACTACCATTGATGAATGGTAGATAAGGGAGTTTTCTAAACATTGCTCTAATCTACTCAGTTGTATTTCATTCACTCTGGAATGTGCTCCCCAGAGAGATGTGCCTGGCGCCAAGCTTATACTCTTTTCGGCGCCAGGTCAAAACCTTTTTATTTAAGCAGTATTTTAAAAAGTTAATAGTTTTAATGATTCTTTTAGTTGCTTTTGCTTTGTTTTATTTTGATTCAATTTGATTCACTTGCTGTTTGTTTATTGTTTCATATACTATTACTGTTTTAATCTGTTATGGGATGTTATTACATATTTTAAATTGTTTTTTAAATTGCTGTTAGCCGTCCTGAGATATTTATATAAAGGATGGCATACAAAAGTTTTTAATAAATAAATAAATAAATAATATATTTATTTTAAATGTTGCAGGGTGGTATCTGGTTCTTAATAGCTATTGGTGTAAATGTTTAAAATTATCTGAGTAGCATGGAGTAGCATTTGACAATGAATACTTTCAAAATGGTTATAGCTTTTAAAAAGACCCAAGTGTTATAGGAGAAATTGTATACAGCAGCAACATTTGGATGAGGACATACAGAATATGCATTTTAGATGTCCATGCTGCTAACCCAAAATGAGATCAAATCGACAGTGAACATATCAGAAATTTGGTGAAATTAGTGAGATGTGGTTACCTTTCAGTATGAGATTTACTTTTCAATAAACCCATTTGCTTTCTTGTTAGTGGAATGGGCTGTTTTTTCATCTTGTGCTTCTATCTACCTTGTGGTTTAAATCAAGGTGAAGTGAATCTTTGGGTTAAATCAGGAAATAAACTACAGACAGTGCACTCACCCTCCGGGGCCATCCTCAGAGTGCCAACCCACCAAGATGTTTGGAGGATGGCAACTAGGGGGAGGACCTTTCCTGTGGTGTGTGCCCCCCCCCCCAAGCTTTGGAACAATCTGCCTGTCTGTGCCAAATTTGCCATCTTTTTGGTACCAGGTCAGGACAGCCCTCTGTGCAAAGGCCTTTAATGATTTTCTTGGTCATTCAGGGGCTTGAGGGGATTATCCTGACAGTTCTTCCTGCTGGGTCTTTTTATTGTATTTACTGTATTGTTAAGCTATGTTAAATTAATTTTAACTCTTTTAACAATTTAATGTTATTTCTATTGTATTTTATTATTATTTTTATACTGTGTTGTGTTGAGATTTCCAACTATCGGATGAAAGAGAAATGAAATAAACCTTAAATCCCTAAAAGCCAAGTTGCCCTTATTCAGATATTTCTTAATACTGAAAATCTGATCCTTAACACATACTAACTTACAATTTAGTAGAAAACTTTACAACATTAAGGGCATATGTTCTATAATTTATTTAGAAAGCATAATTTTTATTAATTTGGAAGCAAAATAATAATCACTAGCTGTATCAAGCTGCAGATGCTGCAGCAGTATATTAGGAATGGTAAAAACTAAATCATTCGAACACCAGTGTGTTTTATTTCCTGTCTGCTGTAGTGGTCCTTTTAACTTCATCCTTAATTGCTGTTTCTTATATTTGTTTTAAGTCTGGTATTTGGTTGACCGATCGCTGCCACCGCAGAAGCATGCAACAATGGTGCTGTCTAGTCTTTGCATTTGTGACTTTAGTCAGAAAAATAATGAAAGCCAGAATTTTTTTTAAAATAAAAACACTGTTAGTTTGGGAAGAGTCATCTTCATAAGATGTTCTATTTTTGGTTGGAAGCTGACTTCATTTACTGTTACTGTAATTGTGGATTTATCATGGGACATAATGCAGCTATGAAATCGGCATTTGTCCTGTTAAAAGCCTTTTTGTTAGTTCATGTAAATGGGATAGGTTGCACTTCTATACTTTTCTGAACATGTAGAGGTTTAGGAAAGGATGGAAAAGGTGGAAGACACTGAGAACTGTCAGGTCCAATTTGTGTTGCTTGTGAAGTACAAAAAAGTGATGAACTCAGTGGCAGCCATGCTAATGTGTTGCACTTTGGGCACTTTGGATAGGTTGTTATTTTAGAGATTGTAAAAAGCTATCCTCCTCCAAAAAAAGGGGGGGGGAGGAAGGAGGAAAATGGAATGCAAAATGACTCATGATTGAACAGGAAGAGGAGAGGACATGGGTTCTGCCATGCAGGTCCTTGGGATAACAGCTGGAGGGGTGAGGGGGAGCAACCCAACTGGTGAGTCCACTTTTTTGTTTGGGTTCTATGCAGAACTAAGCATTGGAGCTTATTAGGAGGATGGATTGTTATATCATGCAAATTCATGCAGTGTAATGGGCAGCTTTTTAAAAATTCTTGTTAGATTTTTGCAAAAACAAAAGCAAAAGCTCACCACAAACCCATGTCTCCTTTCCTTCATGGGAAATAGGGAGAAACTTAGCTGCCTCTAACAAAATCACAATGACAAAGGAAAGCGACAACCCCTTTTTAGTATGACAGCAGTGGACAACCCTGACTTGATTTCCTGCTTAATGAAGGAAATTGCCATTTTGACTGCTACCCAACTGAATTTCAGCAAGAATAAGGACAGTCACTGCTGTGTTGCTAAGTTTTGGCATCAAATGCAATCTATTTTGAGTCATGCAGCTCCCAATAGGTTCAAAGGAGAGATATGGGCTCCAGAAGTTGTGCACCACTGCCTTAAGGGGAACTTGTAAGGCAGGAAGAGAAACTTCTCCTCCTAATTTTGCAAATGCAGCAGCAGCTGGTATTTTCTGCAAGGGGAACAACTTGCAGAAGAGAAACCACCCCACATGCACATACACTGTATTGAAGAGAAGTAGTTTCTGTCGCTTCCCGTTGCACTTTTGCTGAGGGCTGCAGCAAAGTCTTGCTTTCACTTTCCACAGAAATCCTTTCCAAGAGAAAGTTTATCTATTTTGCTGGAGTTTTCTGCAAACAATCCAGAATATAGGGACAATAGGAATCAATGGTGATAAAAGTAATAGCTCTAGCTGGTAAACTAAGCCAAAATGGTTGATCAGTTGTTGTGATACATGGAAAGAACATGGAAGGGAATACGAAAATAGGCCATTGGTCTGCTTAAGTAAAATGCTTATCTGGTCCAATATCCTGTTTCTTAGAATGGCCAACCATATGTCTGGTGGGGGAGGGGGGGGAGCCCAGAAAAAGGACCTGATAGGTTTCTGCAGTATCTGTGATCAGTGGCAGCAAGTCTCTGAATTCCAATTTATTTATTTATTTAGGAAGCTTCTATGCCACCTCATTCGCCGAAGCCTCTGGGCGGCTCACAACAATAAATAAATCATAATATAAAAACAATATAATTTGAGACGACCTTTGAAGGAGGCAATAATGGGAGAGGGTATTACCCTCTTGACTGATAGCCAATTATAGTCTTGTATATGACAAATGTGTATAATCTCATTGGTGGGCATCATCCTATCTTCTTGTACTGAATTCCATACTATATGTGTGTGAAGTGCTTCCTTTTGTCTGTTCTGAGTTTTCCACTATTTAGATACAATGGTTCCTGCAATGTAATGATATAAAAAGGGAGAAAAATAATCTTGTCCACTTCCTGCATACCACGGATAATTTTATCTATCTTTCACATGACCCTGCTTATTTCTCTTTTTTCAAAACTAATAATACCTAGCTCTTATCTTCTTCCATTCAATTGGTTACTGTTTTCTTTACATTTTCCAGCTCTACAATTTTTAGTTGTAGGACCAGAAATGTGCATAGTACTTCAGGAGTAGTTATAATACAGCTGCATAAAGATATTGATAATGTTAGCAATTTCATTTTTTATCCTTTTCCTAATGATCTGGGAAGTCATAAGCCAATTTGTTCAATGTTAGTTTTCTGGAAACATGTAGAATGCATTATTAAAGCTAGAATTAGTAAATACCCAAATAATCTTGGCTGAACATGAATTGGTATGAGCAAATACCTACCAAAGGAAAGTATTGCTTTGCCAGCCTTTAAAAAAAATTAAGGGGATCAACTAGCATGTGAATAAAAGTGATCTGAAAAAAACTTTAGTTAAAATCTATCTTGAAAGGCTTCTGAGCAAGCTTAGCCGTCATAAAAATGATAAAGGGCCTTCTTAAGCATTGGTATCTGGTGTGTGTGTGGTGTGTGTGTTTTGTTTTTTTTTTAAGCCAGTGTGGCCATTCGTGTTGGACTGATAGATCTGGATTCTAGCCACTTGTCTATGAAGTCTACTGGGTGACTTTGGTCCATTCTCTGACTCTCAACCTAACTAACCTCTCAGGATTTTTTGAGGATAGAACAGAGAAGAGGATTGTGTAAGCTGCCTTACATTCCTTGCAGGAAAAAGCTGGGATGTAAATGTAATGTAATAAAAGGAAGAATAGAATATGTGAAAAAATTATTCATGGTGGAGGGAAGTAAGCAGCCTCCAAAGAATCTGTACTGGAACTGTTCTCCAGCATAATCATACTTTATTTATTTATTTTATTTACTACCCAATAACCAAATCTCTGTGGAGTAAATGGAGATTACTTACTCGGGCTTCCAGAGTAATTGAAGGTGGAGAAAAATGCCCACAATGATCAGTGGATTGGAATACCTCGTGAGGAGGCCTTCTGGACTTTTTAAATTAGGCGAAAGAAAACTGAGGGAAGATATGATAGAATATAACAATCTATAAAAATAAAGATATTGCAAAGAAGATAGGCACGTGTTTCTGTTTCATAATACTAGAAAATGAAAATGGGGTCCCTCAGTGAAAGCTGAGTTGGTAGTAGTTTCTGGACAAAGTATTATTTCACACCACATTATTCTTTGACACAAGATGTGGCTGCTAATTTAACTAATTTTAAAGGTGATGGTGAGGGTGAAATAAGGAAGTCATTAAGCATAATAGCTAACAGGAGCTTACTCTTTGTTTATGGACTAGCAGAAGAAACTGTTCCCTTCATGCCGTGTTTGTGGGCTTCTTTGAACATTAGTCATACTGTGTTGGAAGCAAGATGCTGGACCAGATGGATTCAGAGCCTGATTTAGCAAATTTCCTTGACAATGATTGTCAAGTCTGAAATGGAAGTGGGCATCATCTTTTGTTTAGCAAATGGGGAAATTCTAACACATTCTATAGAAGTTTAAATTTTAAAATGGAGGACAATTACTTTTTTTCTAACACATTACATCATGTTTCTAGCAGAAATTATAGGCTTCTAAAATATTTTTAGAATCACTTATTATTTATTCAACCATAACATAGATGTGCCTTAAGGGGTTCCTTTTTCCAGTTTTTGCAGCATCATTCTGAATGCTATTTTTGAATATTTGAATGTTAGATGTTTCTAGGAATGCAATTTCAAGGTAACACATTTGGCCCCTGAATAGGCAAAGGGGTTCTACTTTGATTTTATAAAACTTCTGGAAAATAGTAAATACTAATTAATATTTGTGGTTGTAAATATTTAGATGAAGGTGATATTCTGAGATTGTGTGTTAATTAACAAGAGTCAGACTGAAGTAATTAGTTTGCTTAGCAGTTGTCAACTGTAAGCTTTGTGAGTAGTTGCCTAATCTTAGATTTTTCAAAAACTATTTGATATAGGTAGAAGAATACATGTTCACTTTCAGCATAGAAGAGCATGTTCCCAAATTCTTCCAACTTGGGTCGTCCACCCTTCCCACTAGAACGACAACAATATAACTTCTTCATTAATCTTCCAGTACCTCCTGTTGTCTTTCACCAGCAATTCCAGAGTACAACGTAAGTAGAATAGGATTTTAATCTGAAGCTTAAAAGGCTTCCACTTTCACAATAGATATTTGTGACTTTATATAGCTTATTTGCAATGTCAATACCACACAATGCCATCACAGATAATTCATTTGATGTCTTGTTGTGCTTTGAGGTTATCTTTCTTTGAGTAATGAACTTGCGAAATTTGTGTTGCATCTTGTACAAAAGAGTCAAAGTATTGTATGTGAACACACTATTACTAAGCAATTGTACATATCTAAGCAATTGTACAATCTGTCCAGGTGTGAAAATCCATCAGATTCCCTCAGATCACCCAGACTCTGGTCTGCAGCAGAGAGTCTGAATTCCTAGCAAGTGTGCTCAGCATTAATGGCGCACTCTTCAGGTATTGAGACCCACATACTGCACATGGAACACTCAAGTAGCAGGAGTGACACCATTTGAACACTACACCTCATGTTGATGAAGGCTACTTGCGAGGGACTTGCCAGATCCCCCCACGACTGCTGCACAAGCAGTATCTCTCTTCTGCGCCAGCTGCAGATTCCTTTTGGGCTGCTGCAGCTGACATGGAAGAAGGTTGCTAGTTGTGCAACTGAATTCTGTAAGTGTTCTCAGACTTCCTCTTGACTCAGCTTGCTTTGGAGGACTGGGCCAAGCACAAGAGAAAGCCCTTGAATGCATGGAAGGAGCAGTTCAACCCAACCCTAACTGCATGGTTATATTTTTTAGCAAACTTAATAGCTTGCATGAGTAATAATGACATTTTAACCTTCCTAGGACACTTGTGAGTGGTAATCTTCCAACCATCCCTCCAGTTTCACCTCCACCCTTTGCCTATAGAAATGGCAGTCCAGTGCATGCATCAGCTGCATCTACATCATTCCGAGGCAGAAAGTAAGTATGTCGCATGTACAATCATGATAAGACACAAGAGGGGTTCTTTCCAGTAGTCATGTCATGTTCTTAGAATAAAATATAGACTGCAAATCGAACAATAAAATAGCTGTTTTAAAAAATTGGCATAGGCCTCACTTTTTTTTCACATAGACTTTGTTCACACTGGTATATTTGGACATCGTGCAAACCATGGCATAACATGATGAGAGCAAGCTGCAGCCCTCCCTCCCTGCTGCAGCTATGAGAAGGAATTTAGAAGTGTTTGCTTCCTAGTTAGAATAGCTTCCAGTTGTCATGTTCAACCAGCAGACAACTTAAAACTTAGTTTGTTTAAAGCAAACCATAGTTATATTCAAAACATGGGTTGTGAAGCTGGATAGTCTAACAAATCATGGCTAATTTGGAAATCAAATATGAAATCTTCTGAACTTGCATCTGTGCTAGAAAAGGAGAATAAAGGAGGCAGTGCACAAGACCAAGGCTCACTGTGGCTTATTCTCACCATGCTAAACTATGGTTTTGTTTAAGATTGAAATGCAGCCACCTATTTGAATCCAGTATTTCATTCATGAAGTGGCTGGATGGGGTCACTGGAGAGATGGGTGTGGGCTTGAGTGTACTCCGGGGGATGGTGAAGGACAGGAAAACCTGGAGGAATATTGTTCATTGGATCGCAAAGAGTGGGGCACGACTTTGCGACTGAACAACAACATTTCATTAACGGGATCTTCCCTCATTGAAGTGATGCAGTGTGTTCCCATAAGCATATTGTTCTGCTTCAGGAGGAGCAAAGCAAGGGAGAGATTACTTGCTTCTACATAAGGAGAAAAGGGCATAATTGTCTATTTTGTTCATTATGTTTCTTTCCTGAAAATAATGGAGTCATACAATAAGCTGATAAGGAGACCTTGGCATTTCTGCGCCTTAGTCTCTGACTGCTGTATAACTGTGGGAAATGAAATATGTGTGTCCAGCTGTATCATGACATGTACATGTTTGGTTTTCTTATTTATTTGCTTTGCTGTGTTAAATGTGATTTTCCAATTGTGTTACTTGTTTAACAGTGTTATTTTTTGCCACTTGAACCATGATTTATAGGCTATAGTTTTTCTATGTGTGGGAATATTTGGCATTAAAATTGATTGTTGTCTGAGCTTGTAATAAAGATGGCATTCCAATTGAAGAGGGAGAAGGGGAATCTTTTAATCTAAGATTCCCAATTAATTTGTGCTGATTCAAGATTCATGATCTATGTTTGCAACTTTGTCAGAAGAATGGATTTTGCCTCTTTCCTGCCTCTTTCCTGCATCAATCTGCATGTCCCCAGATCTTCTCCACAGAGCTGAGGGACCGTTTAGAGCAGATTTGGGATATATGAAGGAGAGAAAAGGAAGGAGAAATCCCATTGCATGTGGAAATCCAGTTGTATGACATTGGACATAAACCTTGGTTAATTCCTAAATCATGTCTGTGTTCGTTGAATCTCTTCAGTGCTCTACCCTGATAGACATTTGTGGATAGAAAATGCTTGTCTTCAGAGTCTTGTAGGATCACCAATATATGAAAGTGATTCAAATAGCATAATGCTTATAAGTATTCTAATGGCTTTTGGTAGCCCTAGCAAGTAGGGCATTTGGTAAAATGCAGTCAATTGCATGGCAAAATTTCCATCTTGTTATTGGGGGCAGGAATGACATTTTTGACCCAGCTAAATCAATAGATGAGGTACTTGAACTGCTGGGTAGAACTACATCTGGAACTAGCAATGATTCATAGAAGAGTTCCAGAACATTTTTCTATATTAGATTTGATTAAATTTTCTTTTTTTTAAGATTTTTATTAAGATTTTTAAACTACTACTAAAAACATCAATCATCAAATACATCGAACATACTGGGTCAGCCCCCCTACTACATATTTTTTAACATTCTATAGTCACAATCAAATCCATTTATAACAACTTAAAGGCATCTTTAAATCTAAGCCAAGTCCTGTTTCTCCAGCCAATAATAAAAAAGTTCTCAAGTTTGATAGAAGTCAGTATCTTCTTTCTCCTTCAGTGATAAAGTTAATCTATCCATTTCTGCACATTCCAGAATCTTTCTTAGGATCAGTTCGTCGGTGCGTAATTCCTCACTTTTTCAGTGTTGAGGGAATGCAATCCTTGCCACAGTGATTACATGTAACATCAGATACATTTCTTGTTTGTTAATATCTTCTGGTATAATGCCTAATAGGAAAACTTCAGGTTTAAAAGCTAAACGTTTTTGTAGCATTCCCTCAAGCCATTTATGTATTTTAATCCAGTACTTTTTCACATTGTCACAAGTCCACCACGCATGATAAAAGGTACCCAATTTATGTTTACATTTCCAACATCTATTTGACATATTTGGAAACACCTTAGCTAATCGATTTGGCGACATCTATAAAACATTTTATATAAGTTTTCTTTGTACAAAGTTGCTAATGTTACCTTAATATTTCTCTCCCATAGTTTTTGCCACTTTTGCCATATTATATCCAAAATTTTGTGCCCGTGTTATCATAGTTTCCTTAACCTGTTCACCTTCCATTTTTCTGTCAAGTAAGAAGTCATATAATCTTTTAATCATTTTCTCATCTGATTTAAGCATCGCTTGATCAAACGCTGTTAAGTCCTTATAAAACCCCCATGTTTTACAGTCTTTAGCATATCTCGATTGCATCTGCACCTTATGCCACCAAGAAATATTAAATCCCTGTTCTTGTATTTTTTGATCTAACTTCAGGCCTCCATCCTTATCCAAAATATCATCGTATCTTATGATCCCTTCAAAGTCCAGAGCATTTGGAAACACAAAAGCTTCCATAAGTGAAAGTCATCTTGGTCATTTATTATACAATTTTAGCTTTCACTTTTCCCACACCGACATTAATGATCTTCTAATAAAGTGACTCAAAAAAGACCCATGTGACCTAGCCTTCTCATACCACATATAAGCATGCCAACCCATTTGCAAATCATGACCTTCGAGATACAAAATTCTCTTATTTCGCAAAGTTATCCATTCTTTTAGCCAACTTAAAACAGACACTTGGTAGTACAACATCCAGTCAGGAAGACCAAAACCACAGTTCTTTTTGGCTTCCTGGAGTATTTTTAATTTAATCCTTGGTTTCTTTCTCCAAATAAATCTTGAAATTTGGAAGTTTAAATCATCAAAAAAATTTTTATCAATTTTTACGGGAATAATTAGGAATAAAAACAAAAGCTTAGGTAGTATATTCATTTTAACCAGTGCTATTCTTCCCATCAAAGATAATTGTAAATTGGACCATGCTTCCAGATTGCCCTTAATGTCCTTCAATAGTCTATCATAATTATCTTCCTTCAAAGTAGTACACTTGGCTGTAAGATATATTCCCAAATACTTAACCTTTTTAACAGTCTGCAAATCTACTTGTTCCTGGAGCCTTTCTTTCTGGTCTTGTGTAAGATTTTTAACTAACAGCTTCATTTTTTCTTTATTTATTTTCATCCCCATAACTTCACCATATTCTTCAATCCGTTGAAGGAGTTTATGCATTGTTACTAAGGGTTCCTCCAGTATGAAAACCCGATCTTCTGCAAATGCTTGCAATTTATAACTTACATCCCTAATTCTAGTACCTTTAATGTCCTCGTCATCCCTGATAGTTCTGTTCAACACCTCTAGAATCAAAATGAACAACAGGGGTGACAACGGGCATCCTTGTCTTGTACCCTTTTGTATCTCTATAGTCCTTGTAAGTTCTCCATTAATTAAAATCCTAGCCGACTGTCTTTGGTAAATACTTGATATCACATTCATAAACTTTTCACCAAACTCCATTTGAGCCATCTGTTGCTTCTAAATTGTCAATTAACATTATCAAAGGCTTTCTGAGCATCCATAAACAGTAAAGCCATTGGTTTTTCCATATGTATCTCATAATATTGTAAGATATCCAAAATAGTTCTCAGATTATTCTTCATTTGTCTTTTGGGCAGAAAGCCATTTTGGTCTGTGTGAATAAAGTCTGTTAAAAACTTCTTTAACCTTTCTGCCATTATAGAGGGAAAGATTTTGTAATCCACATTTAACAATGGTATAGGTTTGTAGTTTTGAATCTGTGTTAAGTCCATATCTTCTTTCGGTATTAGTGTAATATTTGCCTCTGTCCAAGTATTTGGTATTTTAGCATTTAACAGTGCTTCATTACATATATCTTTAAGAAATGTAGCAAAAACTCCCTCAAAGGATTTATAAAATTCCGCTGGCAGACCATCCGGGCCAGGGGTTTTATCATTCAGATTTGATTAAATTTTTATTGCATAACTCTTACCGTCAGTAAAACACTTCAATTCCTTGTTTGCTTTGGATGATCAGGTGTTTCTTAGGGCCTAAGCATTTTAATGCATTGGATTTGTTCCCCAGTATTGTTTCTCTGAAGTTGCTTTCACATAAGACTTTTTGTTAAATCTTCCTTTACTCCTATTAGTATGTTTTCATCTTATCCTGACAGATTCTAGTAACCTTCCTAATGATACTTAAAGGACTGGCTGCCATTACCATCTGTCTGAAGGCTATACTCCAGAGGTCCCTTACCCTACAAGTAGTGGACTGCAATTATGATTGAAATATGTTGGCGAAGTTTTCTGTAACTTTTTTTACAATTTCCAAAGCTGAGCATGTGTGAATCAGCTTTAATATTATCTACATAATAGATAACATTGGTATTCAAGGTGCCACAATTCTGAAAGTAACAATGTACCAAACTAACAATGGCTGTTCAGAGCAAGATGTTTTGTAATACATGTTGACTATAAATGCATTAATCCATAAATACTGCCAAATGAAATAGAGGTTCTTTTTTGCCGAGATCAGAAACTGTCTGTACAATCTAAACCTACACAGACACATTCTACACTTTGAATGGGTAGTTGGTAAGTTGTTTCCATCTCTTCTTCCTTCCCACCTTTATCACTGGGTACACATTGCATACAACTTCTTAGTGCAACGCTTTTCTTAATATACAAACCTATTCTCTTGAATGGGGAATATTTCAGAAAAAAATAATTGGCTCTGCATAAGAATGGCTTGGTCAGATTTGGACTTTTTGTAGCTTAAACTTATATTTCAATGTGGTCAAGCACAGTCTTTGTGGGACAAACTTTGAGTAATTTTGCATTCTTATAAATTCCCTGTTTAAGACTTAGCATCAAAGTTGGGCACCCCTATTTTGAAAAGGATAATACTCAGTCTTGCTGGAACAGTCACAATTATTAACTGGTAACATTTACAATTCGGTCTCTGTTGTGAGCATTATTTGTTATATATTTTAAGTAGCAAACATGGATTAGCCATTCTGCCTCTTACATTTTTAGGAGGCTAAAAGAACAGAGTGTTCCTTATGAAGTAAAGCGCCAGCGATTTCATTCACCACATCATGAATCAGCTTCAGCTAACCAATTAGTGCCTTTACCTGAAGATCACAGGCGTTCGTTCCCTGGATCAATTTCTTCACCATTATTTCAAGCACATTACATTTCTGATTTGACGGGATGTGTGCCCCCCTTACGAGAAACTTCATTTCTTGACCCTGCTGAACCTGCACTACCTGTGGCCAAAGATAAGGTAGGATTGATAAAAGGTCCCTTTTTGCTTCCTGTTCTACTAAAATTTTCCTGAAAAAACTGACTCACTAATATGCTACAAGAGAGGTTGGTGTGTGTCATAAAAATCGAGCCAACACATTAGATGTATGAATGAATCAGTAAATCAGTCTATATCAAGTCCATTTTTTCAGTTTTGCATTTTTCAGTCATAACTCTATTCCATTGAAATTCTACATCAGTCTACAAAGATTTCTAGTGAAAAATCATTTATATTTTTCTGCACAACTTTCCACAATATATAAATTTCTGAATTTAATCTGAAAGCCAAGAACAGCACACCAAAATTTTGAATAGTGTGTAGTCCAAAGGATAACTGTGTTCTCATCTGTATATTAGTCTGGGAAGTGAGAGTTGGGTCAATTTGCTCAAAAATATGTAATGAAGCTAATTCTGTTCTGTCCATAGTTGGATATATTTACACTGATTTTCAGAATAAGGTGACTGCCAGTTCCTGCTATTTGTCAATATAAACAGCATCCTGAGGAAGGAAGAGTGCACTGGGGTGCCTTCAAACAGAGAGCCCTATAGCTGAAAAATGCAGGGGATATTCAGATGTTTTGACAGCCAAGAAAGATTAGTTAACTCCTTAAGCCTTCACTGAATGCAAAGGATATGCAAGATGACATGGGGTAATAGTTATTGGGCTATTCTGTAGTTTCAAGGAGAATGCCTAGCTCAGTTCTAGAAACAATAATTGAAAAAATACACAAGAAAAATGATAAGTGTTTCCCTTAATTCTGTTAAAATTGGGATGGGAAGTCTTAAGTTCCAGGGATCAGCTGTGTGTTGAATACTGGTATATTGTAGAGAAATGAATATGCTCCCTCTTAGTTGAATTAATTTTAAATTGTGGGTGAACAACATTATACCCTCCAACTGTTTTGTATTTCAAATCTTACCAGCAGAATGGTCAATGGGGCCTAAAACATCTGAAGGGCACCAAGTTACCAGTTGATGCTTTAGTTGAAGTCCTGTCTTTCGAAGCTACTGACTAAGAACACTGTGGGTTGGATACATATTTAAGCTAGATCACCTTTGCTGATGAAAGTGGAGCTCCTCACCACCTCCTTCCCGTGGTAGCTCATCAAGGCCCCTAAAAACACAATGCAGAATCAGAAAACTGTGCCAAGTATCTGAGCTGTGGTATGGGGAAAGAGAGGGCTCTCCTAATCTGGTAGAGGATAAATAAATAAACCCTGTGACATCTGGCAGAGCTTCTCAGGTAGTGATCATGTTATAGCAGGAATGCTACAGCAGAAGTAGGAATGCCATATGCTTGCCTACTTAAAAAAAAAAAAATAAGATGAGTGTGTTTGTGACCAAATTCAAAGTTTATCTTTGATGGCCAGTTACATTCAAAGATAGAAAGTCCTTGGGTTGTGACCAGTTTGCAGAATAGTAAAATTAGCCTGCCCTGCCTTGCAGTAATCTTACTAAGTGGGGTCTGGCTAAATACTGTAGCAGAGTTCCTGCATGAATGATTTTGAAGAAAGCGGTATTCTAAAACAAAATGCACATATGCAAATACATGCACTACATATATTTGAAAGATCAAGTTCTTCTTATAGTGTAGTAACCATAATTTTGTGGCTTTTTTATATGTAAAGCTAAGTCAGCAAGTACTGGAGTTATTTCAAGCGTGTCAACAACAAATAAGTGATTTGAACAAAAAAGAGCTTTGCCGAACACAACTCCAAAGGGAAATTCAGCAGATCTTTCCAAGTATGTTGTAATTCTACATATTTATTACACACTTGAATAATCAGACATTTTCTCATGTCTAAAGACATGGTTTTAAATGTGTTATATGTTTTTTGCATTGCAGATAGTAGACTATTTTTGGTTGGGTCCTCATTAAATGGATTTGGAACTCGTAGCAGTGATGGTGACTTGTGCCTCGTGGTTAAAGAAGAGCCAGTAAGTACAAAAAGAAACACATCATGCATATGGCTTATAAAGATACTTATTCTTACTTATTCTTAATTTCTCTGTTTCTTCAGAGAGTGATAGAAAGGAGGGCTACTGTATACTGAAAAGTGATGCCAAAAATCATTAACAAATTGAGGAATAAAATACAGGTTTCCTACATCTGGAAAGGAGGCTAGTTTAGACTTTTAAAGGAATATCTAATGAAATCCTAAAGTTATTTCACAAGTGGTGCATAAATCAAGTCCTCTCCTCTCCTTACATGATTTTACTGCAGGTTGTCTTACGCCTGGTCAAATGTTCATATCTTCGTACTTAATGAATCTAGATCATAGAATTACCAGGATGTCCCCTTTGATGTTGAAAAGTCAGAACCTACATGACACACAATTCATATCTGTGTATGATGAAAGACAGCTGACATACCACAGCCACACTATTGTAACATCTGGAGAGGTGTACTTCCCAGGAACACAGCCTGTATGCTGTGCTTTTGTAGTAAAATAAGGGCAATTAATTGCATCATTTTTTCAGTGCTATCTCTTCTGAAATGAAAAATGGATCCCCACCAGATAATCTGAATAAATTAATCATAGTTCTGGGTACTTTCACTTAAATTACGAAGTGCTGGGTGTCTGTATTATGAGCTGCATTAGTATTAATCTTTTAAAACTTTATGTTCACACCACTTTTGAAAGCTTCTAATGAGTGTAGTAGTAATGTTAATTATGCAAATACAGATTACATATATGAGTTTTAATTTGTTTTTTTAGGAACTGCAACCTAATTATGGGGATTTCAGTTCAGTTCCAATTTGGTTATTTTGTTCTTATGAACTATAGCGTTACATGTATGAAATGATAGTATGGAAAGTCTGATATTTAAATAAGTTCTGTAGTTATTTGTTCTTGTTCTATAGTGAGTATATGGGTGTTGGTTCATGAAAAGAAAACTTGAGCCGTATTCTGCTGTATTTTCTTCCTGTTGATCCCTCCCTGCCCTGCACATTTCTCTTCCTACAATATCCCAGGTGTTGGGGGACTGAATATTTGCAATACCAAGCATTTTCTGCTTCAGAACGCTCCCAATGCAATTTAGACCCTAATCTTCCAGGGTTTAAAATTTTTCTAGAAGATTCCTCAAGTAGAACAGGGTCCATGCTGCATGAGTTCAGCTTCCAATATCTGGGAGTACTGCAAGAGGCCAGTGATGGTGAAGCCAACAGACTTCATAGCCACTCTCTCCACCTGAAGTAGTAATTGCACTGAGAGGAGAAAAACTGAATATACTTTAATCTTGTACATTTGCTCCTTATGTATTCATTTTGCCACATATTTTCAACTGAAATAAAATATTGACATATTTTGCATGCACATTCAAATAGTAAGGGCTGTGAATTATTTCAGATGAATCAGAAGACTGAAGCAAGACATATACTCGGCTTACTCCAAAGACACTTCTGTAGGAAACTTTGTAAGTTCTAGACACTGCTATAGTGAAATTGTTGATAATGGTTTATGATATTTGCTAATGGGAAATAAAAACTTGAAAAGATTTAAATAATTATTGCTAAACTTTTATGTGCTTGAGAGGCCTTGATCTAGACTTGTGAGTAATTGCAATGTAGTCAGATACATGCCTTTAAAAATATTAGTTGATATTTTTGTCTATTTTTTATGAAAAATAGTTTGTAAGACACTTTTGGTATATTTTACTGAGAAGCAGAATATATTTCTTTTCTCACCTTCCACCTGCAAAGTATATTTCAGACATTCAGTAAATTCACTCATGACTTTTAAGTCGCGCTGAGATCAACCACAGCTACTCTCATCAGGTGATACCAGTTTGGCAGCTTGCCATGACTTGTTTCTCCCTCCGCTGCTTTCAGCCCTCCTTGTTTCTTCATTCCCTGCATCAGCACCCTTTCTTCAATTAGACCTTCACCACTAGAGTTGTTGGCTTACAAGACCACCTCTTCTCTTGTATCAGATTGAAGGGATTTAAGTTTCTGAGCCCTGGTGAATATGGGAATGCATTTGCAAACAGAATATATAAAGTCTCTGTAAGAGCACCTTTTGCTGTTGGGCCCAGGATAGCCATATCCCCACTCTTGTCAATTTCACCCTCTTCAGGAAGCCCAACTTGCTACTGCCTCTTAGATCATTTCACCAAAAAAATAAAACAATCAAAAATTATATGAGTGTCCAAGAATGGGAATGAGTTTGCATTTTTGTAAACATTTGCGGAGCTGTCTTGCACAAAACCTCAAAGCCATCTCTCTGCTACGTAGCCAAGGGTACTGCTGTCTCCCTTTTGCCAGTGTTCTTCTATCCTCTATCTCAGTGCTTCCCTCGTTAGCAAACAGCTTTTCAAGGGTGCATCATGTTCTACTGAAGTAATAATATCTGCCCATAAAGCTTATTCTCTCCTGCAGCCCCCAGCTAGTCTCACCCCCTCACCTTTATGATGGTTGTTTCAGTCCACTGCTTTCTGTTGCTGGCTGTCAGATGTACATGAGTGGTACAAAGCAGTGAGCAAGATCACTAAACATATGAACATTTCAATGCAGAATAGGGGCTATGTGGGTAAATATATGCACATTTCAAGGAAGGTGAATGAGGCAGATTGTTAAATATTTGCAAATTGCATATTTATTTATTTAATTTCTATGCCGTCATATGCATAGCCTCAGGACAGCTCACAACAAAATAAATAACCTTATAAATACAATTAATATTCAATAATAAACATTAAATTATTCAATTGATTAATTTTTTCAAAATTAAAAGAAATTAAAAGAAGAAAAGAAAGATATGACTGGTTAATATTTCTTATTAAAATTATTAATTTAACTATTAAAATGATGGGTAAATAAGAAGAACTTTACCTGACACCGGAAAGAGTAGAGAGTAGAGCATAGCAGAACAGTATAATTGAGGAAAGCACTACAGCATTTCTAGCATGGGACATTCACTCCTGTGCTTTTGTGCATAAATGAAAAAAGTTTGAATATGTTCAGTTTCATGTGGCTTTTCTTCAAGAGTTTTATACAGTAAAATTAAAAATATATCCTGAGGCAAGTGTGTTAAGAAGGGAGAAACACTAGTGAGATTCTGATGAGTAGTAGTGATCTTTGTTGCTCTAGATGGATGGTTCTCTAGTTGTTCCCAACAACCCATGATGAAATTGTCCTTCTGGGTTTGGATGTCATAAAAAACCATCTTTAGAACTATCTATTGTAAACAACCTTCTGTTACAAGCCATAGATTCTCAGTATGACTTGATTGTGAAAAACAATTCAAAATAGAAAGCACCTCCAAATTCAGACATTACATTAAACTACCCTCCAGCTACTTATGTCAACACCACTTATGGCTTAGTGTGATATGTGAACCAGTTTATTGTTCTGTGGCATTATAATGCAAATTAGTTTTCTTTCACATAAGTAAGCCTCAGCTTCACAGATAAAGCATATTTTCGAACTTGGATCAGTAATACAGAGCAATTCTTAGGCTTAATTGGGGTTATTGACCATTATAAAAAGGAAAAGTACTACTTTTCTTTTCCCCAAACCCCAGTTTTATGCAGTGTTTTCCTCCATGCATCCTCTGCAAGTTTGGGTTTGACTTTCAGGACAATATCCTGGAACTAGGACTCCTTTTTCTCATGCCAGATCACTTACTCAGGGAAATACTGAATTGGTGTCTTCATAAAAAAGCAAAATTTGTCCACATGTAGAAGATCTAGAGTGTGTGTATTAGGAAAAGGAAAGGCCCAATGCAATACATGTGCTATCTCATAGTAATTTTAAAGCCTTCTAATTCTGGCAAAGGGTGAGGAACACTGGCCAAAAGTGCAAGATAATGGACTGTTGGCTTACCCATAACAATTGACTATTGGCATCATCCTTTTCTTCTGAACAAAGTAGGATAGTGCAGTGAGAGGATCTTAGCTATATTAAATATTGCCTGAAATGTCACAAGCGATGGCATCCCTTCAGACATAGAAGTAAGTACATCAAATTAATGTATTCAATTGAACTTTTGTATCCTTTCTTCACTGGCCCCATAAAACCAACTCAAGCTGCAAGATTGTCCTGATACTGGAAACGGAGGAGTGGCTCAAACAGACATCCTGAATTACTAAACTCCTGCTCTAATGCACCATAGTGCAATAGTATACCTAAATGCCTCCCAAGGATAAATGAGTATGATAAGCAGGCTTATCATCAGAAAGTTATGTTAGCAGTGGCTTCGGGTTGTGGTATAATTTTTTAAAGTTTTTTGCTCTGTCTTGTCTATGTAATGCAAGGAGAATATGTAATGCAGGACTGCTTTATGCACGAATTGGCCCTCATAAGACAACCCTTAGTCAAAGCTAAATTTGGATTCTGGTAAAGTATGCTTTGTAAAATTTGACAGTTATAACTTAACACATTTGACAAGAGTAAAACTTGAATGTTTCTATGCATTGAGACAGAGAGAGAGTCTGTCTGTCTGTCTTACCTACCCAATCTCCATCATATGGGCTTAGCCTCGTATTTAGTTGCTGGCATTAATCCATGTATCTTCCTGATGGTTTTAACAGCTGCAGCCTTTTCTATTACTTGGAAATTAACGGTATATGATGATTGATAACTGTTAAATTCATGAATGGATGGAAACAACTACACTGGTATCTCGGCTCACAAATGCCTCAGTTCACGACCAAATCGGGTTGTGAACAGAAATTTCTGAAAAATTTTGCCTCAGGTCGCAAACTCCTCATCAGGTGACGATCGCGATTGTACCCGTCCCCCCCAGCATACCCATGATCACGCCTGTCTCCTCCCCAGCACACCTGCGATCGTGCCCATCTCCCCCCCAGCGTGCCCACAATCGTGTCCATCTCCCCCCCAGCATGCCCATGATTGTGCCCATCCCCCCCCCAGTGCTCCCACAATCATACCCATCTGTGGCCGTGATTATGGTTGTGCTTTGAGGGGGAGATGGCTGCGCTCGTGCTTGGGGTGTGGGGTGAGATGGCTGTGATCTTTGTTGTTCTTTGTCACTTTGCTTCAAATTTTTGTGATTAAAAAAATAGTTACAGTATGGATTAACCTTATTTACATTGAATCTTATGAGAAAATTTGACTTAGCTCATGACCAATTTGGGTCACGACCAGATTCCTGGAATGGATTAAGTTCATGAGCCAAGGTACCACTGTACTTGAAATGTATTCATGTTTGGTGTAATGTATGTAGCATAAGGGCTGCTTATAGCGTAAAACCCTACTTACATCTGACCTGTGTGAAACTGCATAAGAAATGTCTGTATTTTTGCCCACTGCAAATTATTCTGTTAAATGACAAAAGACTTTTTCCTGCCACTCCCAGCAAACTACATTGAGAGACCTCAACTGATTCGCGCAAAAGTGCCAATAGTGAAGTTCAGGGACAAAGTCAGGCAAGTATCTGTAACAATCATGTTTTTAAATCTTTGTTCTGGAAGCAATTAAAATATATTGGATGCAATTATGCTAAGTGCTTTTTCAGTATTTGGGGGCAGTCAGTAACAATGGGAAATGAGTCAAATGTGAACCCAATGATCCATACATTTCCTTGGGACTTGAAGATGTGCATTACTTTTTCTGTCATTCTGTGGTGCTCCCTTTCTATGTCTTTTATTTATAGTGAAGTGCTGTCAGTATGATGCCTGCCTTACTTTCTCTGATAAAACTGGCTTCCATTTACCATTTTAATAAAATGAAAATGGACTTCAGGCAATGATACTTTTTAGGGGAGGACATGAGGTACCCCTGACTCAGAAGAGGCAGATAAATTTTAAGAATGGAGGGGCAGGAGAGGGGCAGGGTGTGGCTTTCCTTTCTGCTACATACATCACTGAGAGGATAAACTCCACCTGAAGCCCATATGTGCCCAAAATATAACCTATCATGTTTACATATGCATCTGATCCACATTATTCATAAAAGATACATGTTTCTGTTTGTTTCTGCAGATTATGCCATTTATCCTGATCCTTTAAGTCCTTGCTTCCATATCTTTTCACTCATTAAAATAAGTTTTTAAAATAAAATTTACAGGCACCAGGCACTATTCATTGTCCTATAATTCAGTGGTAGAAATCTGTGTTGCATGCAGAAAGACCCAGGTTCAATCTCTGGCATTTCTTAATTAAAAGATTCAGGTAGTGATGAGAGAGTTGTTTGCATGAGACCCTGAATAATTGCTGCCAATGAAAGTGGACTGGGATAGACAACCTGGTGTTTTGCAGCTGTTTTAGGAGTTGCAGTCCAAATAGTCTAGAGGGCTCCAGGTTCCCTACTCTTGGAGTAGACAATACCATGCTGGATTGGTCAGTCTTACATGGGATAAGACACCTTCCTATGTTTCTTAAACAAATGTACGTTATATTAATAGAAGACATGACAGAGTGCAGTAGTAAAATAACCATCCTATTTTTCAAAATAGGCATCTAATATTTTTCCTGCAATGCAGAACTGTAACACAATATATTCAATTTTGCAAGATAAGTTTTGATTAAAATTTACATTAGCTACATGGTGTCTACCTTGAGTGCTAAAGAACCCCCACCCCCGGCTCCCATTTCTGTTGTGGAAAGTCCCCACTTTTCCACAGCATTCCCAGTTGATTTAATACCAGTGATTAAGTGCCTTTTCCTGCTGTTCTTTAGCTTTTTACTATTAACAATAGAGTAAATTTGTTTATTTTCAGTGTCACTACTACTCAAGGTCTTTCAGGATTTCTTGATAATCTCAATAAAGTGTATCTTTATTATAACTTGCTCCTGTCAGAGGCTTTGGTTTCCAACTAAGATCAATCCATTATACTTACTTTAATTATATTAAGTTGTTCAGTTGTACTTTAGAATTCATTAGAATCCATTTTCCCAGGACCTTGATAAATGATGTGTCTGCTATGGAGCAAATTGAGAGTCAGGTTGTGAGCCGCACTTAATCCTTGCCTGTGTTTTGCAGCTGAACATATAAAGCAGTGTGTGCCTTTGAACTAAAGCCAACTGCATTTCCTTCACTATTGACTATTCTAACTGCATGATCTAGAATTCAGGGGCAAAAATGCCAAAACAGTGTGCACCTGGATTAGGATGCTATGAATACCTGCTTTTAAAAAGTCTACAAATAAAAGGTATAAATCCAGTGCAAGTTTAGAAGATGAAAAAAGGCACAAACAGGCCTTTTTTCCTTTTTAAGCTTGCACATGATTCCATATTTAGACATTCATTTCTAATTTGGTTTACATACCAAGTTATGCTTCTGCTTTTCATTTATGGTAATATAGATATGCATTACTAAAGAATGGAAATGGTATTATACAGAAAATTTGCACATGGTTAAGCAGAGATACTTCTGGAAAGTTCAATATATCCTTATGTCTTGTGATTAGACATGTGTTCAAGGCTTTCCAGTGTTAGCTTTCTATCCTGAGCATGTATAGCCACTCTGGAAAAATGTGTAGCAGCTGTACAATCCCAGTCAAGTGGGAAATGCTTCATGGTAGAAAGAACACTGAGTTTATTGCTCAACTACTTTATTTCAGGGTACAGAAGACAGCATCCTGTTCCAAGACATGTTAGTGTTCAACACCAATTTTTAAGATTAGTGACACTAAAAACAAAGTACTAGGCATATTTTTCTTTTCCATCCACATGAAACTCTGATTGTGTTCTAACAATAGAAATAGACTTACCTTTGAAAAGCAAAACATTTCAAATTTGTGTTTTATAACCTAGTATAACCTAGATGTATTTGTAAAATGGTTGTATAAACTTGTCTTATTTTTTCTCCCCACCTACCCCAGCTGTGTGGAGTTTGACTTGAATGTAAACAATGTTGCAGGAATAAGAAATACATTCCTTTTGAGAACCTATGCATACAGTAAGTGTACATTTTATTACAAATTTGAGCCATGTTCAAGGAGGTTTTGTAATAAGTACCTGAATTTCATTACTATGAGGTATATTTTAGCAGCTGTAGTATTCTGTATTTACCACATAATAAGACAGAATAGCATAAATTGGGTCTAATATAACTTAATAATTTACTTATTGATTTCTACTACTGTTTTTCCTTTCATTGATTCCTTTCAATACAGCTGCTACTACAATTCAGACCTGCAGCACAATGTTCATATGGAATATCCCTGTTCAGGAGGTCTGCCAGCATTGGTTTTTCCAGGTTATTTATTCTGTTACCCTCCTAGCTTTCAGGTGTTTTCTCAAGTAGCACAACATCCTGTGTCTACTCAGTTCTTCTGAGCTGTTTTGGTATTTCCTGTTAAGGTTTTTTCAAAATATCCTTTGCATTTCTGCAAATGGTGATTTTCCCCAAGTCTGCTGGTATGATTTTCTTGTGTCTGGATGGTGCTGTTTCGGCTAAGTAAGCGTATGCATTTGAAGAATAAATTCACTATAACCAAGTTCATTCTCTCTCTTTCTGTCTGTGTGCATGTAAGTAATGTACATGGTGTTTGACAGAACATAAGCTAAAAGACAGGCTTTTCTCCAAGCAGCTTACCAACTTTAATTTAAACAGTGAGTATGCTGTAGAGAAAGGTGAGGAAAGGGAGAGTTCAGGATAACAAAACAGATGAATGTGAAAGAAATAAGAAATAAATTCTACTAAGTACCACATGGGTAAGCCAAAAGCCTTATGATAAAAGTGAGTATTGAGAGAAGTGGATCCATATTAGTAGGAAGAGTTCTGTGGATTACGCCATTGCAAGAGAGAATGGGCACAAACTGTTTTAACAGTAAGAGATCTTTGGGTAGCCATAGCTTTTCAGTAGGTGATATGTCTAGTAAAAGTATGTGGAATTGAGAAGGTAGTGTTGCATTAGCTAAAAGTTTTTCACTAGACAAGCACCTAATTGATCTGTCTAAAATCTTTATCTTGTTTGCAGTTGAGAGTCGAGTGCGTCCATTAGTGCTGGTTGTAAAGAAGTGGGCAAGCTTTCATGGCATAAACGATGCCAGTCGAGGCACTTTAAACAGCTATAGTCTTGTGCTGATGGTTTTGCACTATTTACAAAGTAAGTATGGTTTTAACTTCGGGAATGGCTTTTCTCCTGAACATATCTTTATCATTAACAAGTGTTCTAGAACTGCTAGGGATAGCTTTAGATACAGTGGGTTTTCTTGCTTTTATGACCCTCACTTACTGCCACATTCTTGGTACATGTCCATTGAAGAGATTTATTTTCCTGTTAAAACATAGCCAGGGTAAGGTAGACTTATTTTTTCATTCTTAGATTTTTTAAAATATTCTTCTGTGAACTACTGTATTAGTATGCATGAAAAAATATTGTAGCATGATTTCTGGATTTCTTACTGTCTCTTAAATACAACTAACAGCAAGAAACAAGTTAGAAAATATGCCATTCACCAACAGACTTGTAATTAAGTGTAATTAATGGTGGAATCTAAAGTAGATGAGCAGCTAGCTAATCCTGCCTGTTTATTATACATTCCTTTAGCCCTTATGTTCAAGGAGTTTCAAGCTTTATTCCTATTCTTAAATATGCTATAAGATCACCAATTGTTACAGCCATTTAATAGATGGAGAACTGAGAAGACTGTGGCTATCAATGTTGCAGGTTATATGATGAATCATTCCACAGTTTGTTCACTATGCTGGCTTCTGCCTGTTTCCACTTTGTGTTTGTGTCATAACTCTGGATGTTTCTCCCTCAATAACCCAGAGTTATTTGGGTTGGGATATGAAAGGGAAGTACCCGAGCCTGGAGCATTGCTGGATTTTTTTTTAGCACCCCAGAAGTGGGTGTCATTTGTGAGCCAGCAGGCATTCATGAACAATTCATGATTTGAAAATCATAGATTCTTTTATCATGTCAACTGGGTCAGCGAGTTCATGTTACAGGAAAGATTTGATTCCAGCCAGGTCATTTTTTAAAAACTGCACCATGCTTTTTCTCTATTTTTCAACTATGTCTTGTATATCTAGAGCTTGGTTCCTTCTGGTGAAATCCAACATGATAGTAGAAGTTTGCTAAGGGAACTTTCTCCTCCTCCCTTCCCCACTGCAGCTGTCCAGGGTACCCCAGAATTTACTCAAGAGGGTTTTCACAGCATTCAGGAATAGATATTGAAAAAGTTTAGGGAAAATCATCTCCCCTGGTTCTGTTGATGGAACTGCTTCTGCTAGCAGAATAACCCATACATTTAAATAGTTAAATTCAGTGTTCTGTAAACAGACATTACATAATGGGATTTCCCCCTTCCCTCCCTCCCCCTATACTCCTCTCATATCTGCTCTGGAGGGTCAGCCAACCCCCCAGAACAGATGTAAGTAGTGCATGGAAGGCTGTTGGTGGAAGGGAAACCATACTGTCAGCGCTCTCTCTCACTCCCCCTCCCACGAGTTTGTTGAAGGGAACTCAAGATAACATTGTGACAAAAAACATCAAACATTTTCTGATCTTGCTTTGGCAGGTTATTTTGTTGCAGAAGTCCTAATTGTACTATATAGGAAAGATTGTATAGAAGTAACTTCTTCTCTGCATCTGTTTGCCTTGTATTACAGAAGCTTTCATTAACAGATAGAAGGTAGTTGTTCTATGTGTGGTTATTCATGAGCATTAGGGCTCAATCCTAAACATATTTAGACTGAAAAAGGTCCTACAGCTTATAGCATTTTCTAGCCTCCTTGGCTAGCTAGGGTATAATAGGGAGTTGGAGGACTTGTTTTCTGTCTAAACAGGCATGGGATTGATCCCTTAACCTTCTTAAACTATAGTCCATAATAGCTATACAGTAGCAATAAACCAGAGTTCTGTTAATAAATTGGTAAGCATCCTTTTCATAATAGTCTCCCTGGTATTCTTAGGGTGCTTGTTGAAATATAACAAAAAATTGGATGAAAGTGTCTTGAATTCTAGGATTCAAAAACAGATTTTTTAAAAAACAAATGTGAGGAGAGTCTTATAAACAATAGAAATAAGATGGACTTCATTCATTTATACCTTTTCTCAAAGAATGAAAAGGTTGGAGCACTAAAGTGATATCATACCCATTTTGTATTTTGATGCCTATTGTTATCTAATCTACTGTTTTGAATTTAAATGCTGCCTTTTAGTTGTATTTTATTTTAAATGTTTACTTTGCAAATTGTCTTGAAGAGTCTGCAACATGAAGGGAAAGAAGAAACATTCTAAACAGATAAAAGTAATATTGTTACTTCTGGTAATAGCAAATGGAGCTGCACTTTTTATAATCTTCTCTATTAGACCAGTTAAGTATTTTGACACTCCAGTTTAGAAGATCATTGCCCCAATCCAACTGGTGAATGCTCACTAAAATGTCTGCTTGTTTTCAACTACAAAACTGAATTGGAACAGAATGGACAATTTTAAAAGTACATTGTGTTAATCATGTGACTCAATGGAAGATGAACATTGCTAAAATGGACATATATAGTTACCATGCATTATTTGTAAGGCAATAGTTACAATATTTATTTGGTTGTGGGTTACCTGTAGGTATATTAAAAAGAGATGTATATAACTAGGAAGATAATTCTTATTCAGTATTCATTTTGACAGTGATGGTTCGTTGGGGGCAAATTGTGCTTCCTGTCCAAAAAATCAGGTAATATTAGGCATCATTCACAGCTTCATCATATTTTGATAGTTCATGATTTACATTTCCACTGCAGAAGCCTAAAAGTTACTGTTATCTAGAATGAATTAAAATGTATTCATAGTGAAAAATGTCCACCTGCCCTTATATAAACATCAAATACCCGTATGTTACAAACTTAAGCTTACATGAGTAACTTTCATATCCTAGAATGTTTAACCACATTTCAATAAAATTTATGGAAGTAATTCTGTTTAATTTAAAAGGCCTAGAAGTTTACATTTAGAGTAAGCAATTTATCCTAGACCTTCAGTTCACACCACTGGTGTAGCTGGTATGTTGTTTTCTGTGAAGTACGTGAATCACAGCAACTTTAAACTTTTTTTTTATAGCCCTACCTGAACCTATCCTTCCATCCCTCCAAAAAAATTACCCAGTAAGTGCTTCTTATAAATTACTACATAATATGTTTATTTCAAATTTATTACCTTCAATATGAATGTTGCTATTTAACTATTAAATTTGGGTAATGGCAAAATATGCCTGTGAGCGTGTTTGTTGGATCGCTACAATGAGCCATCACTGTGTGCCTCTGTGCATAAAGTTCCCCTGCAGGCTGACCTTTGTTTCATACAAACTATTTTTTTACAGGTCAATATTAATTATGTTCCGTTGCTAGGAAGTAAGTGCCATTTATTTCCATGGAACTTACTTCCAATTAAGTGGGCTTAGGATTGCAGCCCATTTTTTCAAATGTGCTGTTCTACTTTATGGTCTGATCTGCATGTAAGGGATGTCTATATAAGATCTCTTGCCGCCTCCTACTGTTTTAGATATTAATGTTCTGTATCCCTTTTACTTTGGCGTTGTAGTCTACATACTTTTGAAGTTACATCTTATTACCAGTCATATCTGTGTACCTCAGTATCATGTTAAGCAAGTTCACTTTTGAGCTGTGTGGATAAGGATTGTTTGTTCTTCCTCCCCCTTAGATAGTTCAACTTTTTTGGCATGCGTGTGGTTGCATACTTGTTGCATTAAATGACATAGTTGCCACAGACCTGTGCAGGTGGCAACAAGCAAGGAATCTGCTGTGGATCAGATGGAAAGCTATCTGACGTAATGACCTAAATCTCATGGAAGTGGTGAACTCATGTATGGGCTATATCATTTTGGATTGCAAGTGGAGGCTTACATGACTGAATGATCCTCCATACAAAATCCCTGCACAAAGAAAGCTAAGCATGTCTGGAACAAATTTAGTTTTCTTATGCTAAGAGTTCTTTGTTCTACCACCTCATACTAGACCACTTCCTGACTATAAGTTTGAATGCAATATCTTGTTTGAAGCATCTAGTGTTGCCCAGATGTGTTGGATAGAAATTATAGCCCAAGACATCTGGAGGGCGACAGATTGGGGAAGAGGGATCAAAAGGTTTCATTCCTTTCAAAAAGACCAAATTATATTATTAAGTTGATTACAGCATGTTTAGAAGTCCTTTTCTAAGGAAATTCTGCAGTATATTTTGAGTTTCCCCTCTTGCCCATTTCTGTGCTGTATGCCTCTTGGCAACTGAGTTAATAGCAGTAAACACTTGGGGAGTTTGCCAGCGTTACCAATTCTAGTTAGTCCGTTCTAACTAAGACCTTTCTGGTGCCATAAAGAGTAAGAAATGGCTGTGGGCCACAGCTAACTTTGTCAGGTTAATGGAGTGGTCACATGAATGTTGAGGGTGTGTGTGTGTGTGTGTGAGAGAGAGAGAGAGAGAGAGAGAGACTGACACACAAAATGGAGAAAGGAAGCAGCTCTTGTGTTCTTTTGTTCTCAAAGCAAGACTAAAAAGCAATGCATGAAGGCTGTAGGCGTGATTTAGAACTACCCAGAATACACATGAATACAAAATCTAATGTAATTAATAAGGATATTCCCCAACAGAGTCTTATGGGCATTACTTTTCCATAATTAGCTGTATTTAGAATTAAAATGGTTGTGCTGTACCATATTTCATAGAGTTACATTATTCAGCAACTCCCTTTCATATGGGTAAGATGCAGAAATTCAATTTAGCAAAGGAATCTTCTAATATTAAATGTCCTTTAATTGGTGCCACTACACATTTTATTTCTTCCTGTTCATCATAGCTAGATTAATAATTTCTTAATCTCCAGAGTGTGTGTGTTCCCATGGAAGGGGAGTTAATTACTGGTTTACTTGCATTTAAAAATATTCAGTGCTATTTTACTGTTGTTATTTTATAGTAAGCTATTTTACTGTTTAAAAAAATCAAAAGAGAAAAAAAATCAAAGGAATTCCATAATTAACTCTTCTTTTCTACAGAAATTTATGTATGCAACATGAATGAATAAAGAATGGCAATTTCAAATAAAGGGTTAATTGTTTTTATACTTTGTTGTAAACCATCTAGCTGTAGGTGGTATAGAAATGAAATGAAACTAAATGAATACTGCTATTACTACAACTACTACTACTAATAGTAATATGGGAGCTACCTCACTTGAACCAGTTGTGTTACATAGCACTTCATATGTTCTTCAATTCAGAGACTCACCTGACAAAAGTAAAAACATGAAGAAGGTATTGCAGTTTGTTTGAAGACTGTTAATAACTCAATTAACTTCACTTTTGGGGAAAAAAAATTCTGTGCGCATTGCATGCTATTTTTAACAGAGGGGGTTAAAGATTAATTAAAATTGGTGTTAAAGAGTTCTGTGTTGCCTTAAAATTGGTGTTAAAGAGTTCTGTGTTGGCAACTAATTTGGTAATTCCTTTTGTTGTAAGATATTGCTGTCTTTTTGAAAGCTAAATATTGGATATAGTCTGCAGCAAAGAAGATCTTAAACCTTAATACACGTAGGCTGAACCAAAGACATTCTTCTTAGTAAGTTTTTTTTAAAGAAATGAAATATTTTCTGTTGCCCTCTGCAACTTGTGTAGAATGTTATATATTACATGAACATATATATGGTGTCTTGTAGAAGTACTCACTCCCGCTTTGACTTATACATGTTTTGCTGTGTTACACCGTGAAATGTATTGTATTGGCATTATTACCACTTCATATATCCAACATACTGAATACTTCGAAGGTGCAAAATATTTTTATTGTGGCACAAAAGTTAAGCAAACAAAAACTTGCACTATGTTGCTTATATAAGCCTTCATCCCCTTTGCTATGACATGCCTAAATAAGCTCTGATGCAACCCACTGCCTCCAGAAGTCAGTGTCCGTAGTTGAGTGGATTCCATGCATGTGCAATTCCATGCCATATGGTCTCAAATGAAATACATCTGTTTATGGAAGCCCCAGAATGGAGGATGTATCTAAAGAAACAGCATTATGCAGAGCAAAGAGCTGTCAAAACAGCTCTAGCATTAAGTTGTACAGAAGCGCCAATCAGGGTTCAGTTATTTAAAAAAAACCTTTGAATATTGGTTGGACCAACATTAAATCCATTATTTTAAAATAGAAAGGATATGGTTCAACTACAATTCTGCCTAGAGGCTAGATAAGGAGGACATTAGTCAGAAACCCAAAGAGAGCCCAATGGTAAATTTGGAGGAACTAGAGCAGGAGTCTCAAACTCAACTTACCTGGGGGCCGCTTGAAGTAGAGTCTGGGTGAGGCTGGGCCGCATCAAGTATTCCACCACCGCAGTGGTGGTGGGCTGCTCATCCTGTGGCCGGCCCGGGCGCCGCCGGCACTTTGAAGGCCGCAGGGCCCCTCCCCCATGCCCCACCTGTCCTGGCAATTGGCCTGCGGGCCGCGAGTTTGAGACCCCTGAACTAGAGAGGACAGCAGCTAAGATGTGAAAAACCATCCATGGGATAACTATCATCCCGATAAGGCTCAGGTTTATGGAAAAGTTTCTGAGGGAGAGTGGCAAGAAGAAAGCCATTGCTGAAATAAACCAATATTAAATTCTATTGGAGTTGGCAAAAAGGCATGTGGGAGACACAGCAAACATGAGTTGTCTGGTCCAATGAGACAGAAATCAAACATTCTGACTGTGCTGTGTGTGGTGGAAAGACAACAGTGCTCATTGCTTGTTTCAGTCTGCAGAGGATCTGGGGCTGGAATGCAAGTTGACCTTTCAGCAGGACAATGACCTTAAATGCATAGCCAAAGTAACAGTGAAGTGGTTTAGAAACAATTTTAAAATGCTTGAGTCCCAATCAAATCTCATACCTTAGACCAATCAAACATCTATAGTAGGACTTTAAAGTTGCTCTTTCCCAAAGCCTGCCATCCAGCTGGACTGAGCAAGAACAATTTTACCAGGAAGAAAGAGCAAAACACTGCAGGATCCAGACATTATAAACTGATATTTACCCAAGAAGACTCACAGCCATAACTGCTGCCAAAAGTGCTTCTACAAGTATTAACTGAGGGGTGAATGCTTATGCCACCAATAAGTGCCAGGTTGTTTTTGTTAGCATTCCATGCCATAATAAAAATACTCAATGTTGTTATATCCAGTGGTAACAATGCCAATTAAATTTATTTCAGTTCCTAGTTGTGGCACAACAAAATGTGGAAAAATGAAAGGAGGGTGAATGCTTCTGCCAGGCAATGTATTTATGGTTCTGCGTATTGGTATCCTACTAGTTATTTTTATTTGTGCTGAATCAGTTTTTCAGTAAGGCACCCACATTCTCTGCATATGTTTTAAAATGCTGATCATGCACTCTTAGATATTCAACATCAGCAGTTGCCCATTCTTCCTCTTGTTTTAAGGCTGGCAAGGAACAATGAAAACTTTTTGACACATGGTAACAGTATGGAATAAGCAGATTGCTCTATATTTCAGTGACTCTGTATATTAAGCTAGTGTTAATACAGCATTTTAACATTTTTCTTTGGTTTAGTAACAGCTTAACTCTTGCAGTTTAATTTCTTACCTTCATTTGCACTCCAATGTTGCAGTAAATCTGATTAAATTTTTTTTAATGTAATTCAGTTTTTGATGCTTAACTAAAAGTCAGGTTCTCAGTAAAGACTGGCTAGTACAGCACATTTGTATGTTTACACTCTTGTGTAAATTCAGAATGTTTCAATGTCTGATAGGCTTGAGACTCCTATATCTCCTCTTGAGTTTCCTTATAGTGTTTTTATGCAGCAACTCCTAATCATATATTTTATTTCTAAAATTTATATCCTGCCCTGTGATGGGCAGCTGACATTTCCTGATGTGACTTTCCTAGTGCTTCATTTTTCATAAATAAGAAAAGGTAAGCTTTATAAAAGGTTGCAACAGAGTGCATTTTGTATCCAAGGTCTTTTAATTTACTCACACCCAATGCACATCCCATAGAAGTCAACCTAGCTGGTTTAGAATACCTGACTCATTTTGCATTCTGCATCCAAGGGCTTACAAGTATAATTGAGCACTGACGAGAGGAATATAGTTTTGGAATGTGCCTCCCAGATGCACATGTACCAGAAGTAGATGTACACCTGATTAGTTAACATCTGGTAGCCAGAAGGTTTGGATCAAATATCTGCTCTGTCATTGCTTTGTGATGCTTGTATTACAGAGAGTCAGTGAAAAAAGAGCTTTGCAAAGCAAGAGAAAAAAAGTAGAGAGAAGGATGTCTCAGCATACATGCATATGTGTCTTCCCCAAAGATTCAGGGGGAACCTGCATATAGGTAAACTTTCTATTGTGTTGGATCAGACATTGTTTTCTGCCTAGAAGATGGAGTGGGCCTGTAACTCCCTCCATTTACCCTAGATGAAAAAAATTCTCACTAGTTTTCATTAGTCACTTGATTTGAAATATCTCAGCTTCTCTCTTGAACAAATCAGTCTTATACAACTACACAATTATAAGTCTTTTGAGACTGGCTGCTTATCATGGGAAATTGTTTAATGCTTATTCAATGAAATGTCCAAATTAATTATTTGTTGGAGTTACAGAAAACAAGAAACATCAAATAAATATCTATTTTAGGTTTAGCCTAAGTGGTTTAGAAATCTTAAGTCCTTATACCAGGATAAGTCACATGGTTACCTATTTTTTTTCTCTTCCTTTTCTTTCCCCCCTTTTTATTTTTTTAGGCAGAAAAAAACCATAAATACAATCACAACAATAATAATATAACATGACAAGAACACAATAATTAAAAAAGAATAAATGGAAGTATGCACACACCACCCCGGAGACCAATACTACCATCATACACATACCATAACAATTAATAATATATAATATACTTCAATTATACCCATAGGCCCTCCAGAAATTCATATAATCTTGATTGGGTTTGCAGCCTTTGCCTTGTATCAGAACTGCTTTTACAAAATTCCCCAAATTTCATTATATTCATTTGCTTTCATTAACCCTTTTTTAATTTTTATTTCTGTCATCAGTTTATCATTAATTACCATATTCCATATTTCATTATACCATTCATGCCTTTGCAAAACCCAGTTCTGTTTCCAATATTTAACTATCACTAGCCTAACTGCCATTATCAGTCACATGGTTACCTTCATGTGCCTTATATCTAGCAACCCTCAGGCAGTTTATAACTGATGATCCAAGGACTGGAAATAAAGCCCTATGAGGAGAGATTGAAAGAACTGGACGTTTTATCCTCAAGAAGGAAGGACTGAGGGGAGATGCAATAGCATTCTACAAGTACAGTGGTACCTCGGCTCATGAACTTAATCCATTCCACGACTCTGGTCGCTACCCGAATTGGTTGCGAGCCAAATCAAATTCCCCCATAAGGTTCAATGCAGATAAGGTTAATCCGTTCTGTAAATATTTTTTAATCACAGGGAAGATGGCCATGATCACGGGCGTGCTCGGGGCGGGGGAGACGGGCACAATCGCAGGTAAGCTCCTGGGGGGAGATGTGTGCGATCACGGGCACACTTGGGGGGAAATGGGCGCAATTGCAGCCATCTCCCTCCCCCCGGGCACAATCGTGCCCATCTTCCCTGCACGAGCATGACTGCAATCATGGCCATCCACCACCACACCCGTGCAGGGAAGACAGACATGATCACAATCGTCACCCAATGCGGAGTTTGCGACCTGAGTCAAAATGTTTCTGAAATTTCTGTTCGCGACCCGATTTGGTCGTGAACTGAGGCTTTGGTGAGCTGAGGTACCACTGTACTTGAAAGGCTGTCGCAAAGTGGAAGGACCTGATCTGTTCTTGATCATCTGAAAGGGCAGGACATGGAAGAATGGGCTCAAGTTACAGCAAACTTGATCCCAGCTAGTTATCAGGAAAAATTTCCTGCCTGTTTGATTCCATTGTCATAATGCTCTATTACCTAGGGAGGTCATGGGTTCTCCCACACTAGAGGCATTCAGGATGCCACTGGACAGCCATCTGAGAGGGGTGGTTTAACTTGGAGTCCTGCACTGAGCAGAGGGTTGGACCTGATGGCTCTCTGGCCACTTTCAACTCTAGTATTCTATGCTTCTGTTTTATGATTGTCCCTTCACGTTCCATTTTGTCCTGCCAAGGAATCAGAAGTTTTTTACCTACTGCCCTAGATTTGATGCATTGTAGGAATATAAGAAAAGCCCCATCCCCTTTCTCACGGTGGCCAGCTAAATACTTCTAGGAAGTCCACAAGAAGGGCAGGAAGGAAGTATCCCTATCTTTTGCCTTCTCCACAGCGGTTAGTTACTCATAGGCAAACTGTTTATGTATTAGGAAGTTCCATTTAGTTCTGTCTTATATAAATATAGCCTCACCTCCTTTTAAATTAAATTATAATATTATGAGTTATAGCAGGGGTGAAGAGCCTTAGGCCTGGGAGAGAAAACCAGCCCTCAGGACTACGTTCAGTGGCTCCTCATCAGTTGTTTCATTTCTCCTTCTTTGCAGTTTCCCCCCTTTTTGAATTCTTCCCCAAAGACTTGGGAAAAGGTAGTAAAAGCTTTAAGAAAAAAAACTTGTTAGTATTTTGGCTGTGTCCATTTTGCCATTGGTCTTGCCCATCATTAGAATGCAGTCCCTGAGAGCTTTTGACAAATTTTGCCTTGAAAAAGGTCAACCTCCTTGAATAGGTCAAAATAGATGCAATATTAAATGTTCCAAGATATTAATTTTTTTTAAATACAAATTGACAGCAACTTAAAATGGGCATTAATAGTAGTTATCCTCCTTGTGCAAATGCAAGTATATGCAAATACCAGTTTTAGAGGAATTATTTTTATTACGATTGCAGCAGGGAAAGAATGGGTTAAACTTCTGCGTGCCTGTTGCAATCCTGATAATTATGCATTACCCAGCATTTACTGTCTGCATTTTGAAAAAGTGTACACTTAGACATGCATTTCTCATCATGTTTCTCTCCCACTCTCAAAATGAAATTAGATCTCTCCACATTATATATATTTTTATAGATCACTTATCCTTCTTTAGTCATTGTCTTTTTTTATCTGAAGTCTCAAATGTTCTTGCCTTTCTTCTTTTGGTCAATTTTCTGAACTGTTCATCACACAATTGTCTTTTTACAGCACATTTCCAGGCTATATGATAATTATTTAAAATGGGTTATCCAGAACCACACTGTGAAACACACTTGCAGCATAGATCAATGATAGGTAATCTAATGCAAAAAATTCTTCAGCACTTGACTGGAGAATACAGGCAAAAGCCTTCACACATAGAGTGCACATTCATTCATTCATTCATTCATTCATTCATTGTTTTTATATACCCTTCTCTCAGCACATTGCTCTCAGAATGGTGTACAGTATTTTCTCATTATCTGTATTTAGCAAAAATCTGCCCAGTGTTAATGAATTCAGAGGAACTTAAGAGCTGATGAAAAGTTACAAGGACTTTTTTGTTTTTCTTGTAATGGATGGCATGGGAGAAGGAATGATCTACACAGGGAAAACGTTGCTTTGCTTTTGTTAATAGGATTAAATACAGGCATGAGGAAACCTTGTGTCTCCCACAATCCATGCTTTCTGTGGCTTGGCTTAGCCTTGTCCCTCTTTGCAGTAATTCTCCAATTGGAAAATGAAGTTAGTTATGAACCTTATGTATGGTACTTGTGGAGACAAGCAAAATAAAGCTCTCCATGCTTTTTGTAGCTCAAATGTTATATAAATTAATAACATGGATTTAACCTTGACTCTTCTGTCAAGGTTGTAACAGTTGTTATGAACATTTCTGCTTTCACCTATTCCACTCCATCGTATGAAAATTTAATTTGTTCAAGGGTAGTAAAAGCCCGGTTTCTGCTCCCTCCCAACATTTTCAATAAAAATTTATGGGTGAAGTATGTGGAGCCTAATGCAGTACTAGTGATCAACACACAGCAAAATTGCTCAACCTGAAGTAAAAGTCTCTGTTTAGGATACACAGTATGAATACATATTGAAGTGGAATTAAAGCAGGACAAGTTTTACTTTCTGTATACAGGAAGTAAACAGTACAGGAAATTCCCCAGGCATCCCTCCTCTACTTCCACCTGCTGGTTTGTTAGGTAGTTTGTATAATTCTTTCAGACTCAGAAAACAGATGTCATATGAGAGTTCTGATTTTAATGCTAAACTGCAGAGAAGAATTAACCAAAGCAAAATAAAAAAAGCACAGGCTTCTAAAAGATATTTGCCAGATTTGTATCATTCCCTTCTTCAAAGATACTCAGGCATGTGCTTGAGGAGTTATCATTTTAGCTTAACAACAGAAGATAAATTTATTATACAAGGCAGTAACTTGTACTTAGGTCTTCTTGGTCCAAGTCCAGAATTCTGTTCCCTTCACATCACTTTTAAATTTATAATTCTAAACCATTACAATATCTATGTACAGAAAACAATGAAAAATGTCTACTATACTAGATAACTAAAATGCTAATAAAGTCAATTTTATTAAAAACTGTTTAAAAAGAAACCCATTTTTATCCCTTGATTTTAATTGGCACCTGTACCTGGTAGAATAGAAAACTTTCCCTGCTTTATATAAATCAGCAAAATGGTGGCATATATACGTAAACTATTTTCTTTATGTTAAAGATGAGGGAATTTGTGCATAAGAGCAATATAGGCAGAAGAGCACTCAAAAGAAGCAAGGATGGGACAAAACTTGCAATTGGTACAATGATGTATGGCATGGACCAGAAAGGTTCTTTCTGAGGCTAGGAAGATGAGATTCCAGTTACCTTTTTTATCTTGCTGTCTTTGCAGGTATCTTTTGATCCTACTATGCAGTTGCACCTTGTGCATCAAGCTCCATGCACCATTCCTCCTTACCTTTCAAAAAATGAATCAACACTTGGAGACCTGTTGGTGGGCTTCCTGAAATATTATGCTACAGAATTTGAGTAAGTGACCTGCTTCTTATTATAGTGAACCGTGCCGGCTTTGCTGTAGTGGTTCACATTGGTACTGTGGTGACTGTGATTTCCAAATGAATTCAAAGACTTGTTTTTCCATTTAAGGGAGCATCTTACCTTTTTAATTAAAATCACCTCTGTATTTGTGTGTGTACACAGACACATATGTATATAGATATATATGCATACAGAGATACATATGTAAACAACAGTAGGTTAAGGCTCTGTGGCTAAATGTTTACATGTGGAGTTAGTTTACAATGTAGATACGATCTAGCAAAAGTAAAGAAATAAATAAGGAGAGTATTGGGCTTGGTTCAATAATTTGGCAGTCTCCAGGTCAGAGTTTCTTGAAATGAAGTTAGGGTGTATGATGTTCGAAGGATCATATTCTCACATTTGGAGTGTTGCGCCTTAAGATCTGAGAAGGTATTGCGTGTACCTCCTATTGAGAGGTTAATTTCAAAGCAATGAGAAGTCTGATCTTTTCTGTTGTGAATCTAAGGTTATGACATTTCTTCTCCAGGTAGGACTAGTTCTCATCCACACTTCAGCACTTTCCACCTTCTGTTCAGTACTGGTGCTTCTGTCTATCTCAAGTCTCAATTCAGCAACCAAAAGTTTCAGAGCAACATCTCCAGTAGCTGCTACCTGATACAAATTATTATTTCTATGTTGTGATAATGCCTGGACTTCTGTAACCCACCATAAAAGTCTGAACCAGCTAGTTTGACAGGATTGAAAATAATATTGCTGAACACAATATCAGAATTGGAATTAGTTGTATAGCAGCATTGGCAAAGCACTGTCACAGTACAATTCTTAAGTAATCTTAATTCAAGATTAATTTTTGCTGTGTACACAACTAAAAATGTGCATGAAAGTTATTGGTTTTGAATTGTGTATAAAAAGCACTAGTTAAATTGATCAGTGCCTAGAAATATATTCTGGAGATCGGTAGGGACAGCTTCTGGAAATTACCCTTCTGCACGTTTGAAATATGAAATGTCCTACATCTTCTACATTTCCTATGGAAAAATAGAAGGTTTTTCACATTCAGCATTCCATAGCAAAGTAAATGTTGATCCAAATGTCCTTATATCCAGTGCGGTTTATTATAAGGAAATAAAAATGAAATTACCTTTTCCTTAAATGAATGTCTGTTAAAATTGTCACTTCAGAGCAAACTTGAAATCCTACAATTTTTAAAGAAACATTTCTAAGAAACCTTGTGATAATTTGTATAATTGGAAGCAATAACGTTTGCATAAATTGGCATAGTGTTAACCACAGCCTTTGTTTATGTATGATGTAAAATGATTGCAAAATGTTCCACTGAGGCATTTATGTAAACCTTTTTTTAGCTACTACTATTTTTTAGTTATGTAAGAGACTGTTTGTTAGATTCAAATTTAATGCTAGATAAAAATAAATATGGCCATGGTCTGTTCTGTGTGTGGCAAAGGCCAGATTGATCACGTTGTCAGACAGAATAGTGCTAGACCTATCCAGATCCTGCACAAATAATATATTTTACAGGTATGCTTTGGATTCTTCTGAATCCTGTGCCAGATCTAACAGGTCTACAAAATGTTCAAATCAAAGTGAGTCTCCTCAGAAGCAGAGTAAACCCATTTTTTTACAATCTTGCAGGTTTCAGATTTGGAAGGACATAGACACAGACAGTGCATTTCGAAAAATTGATGAGTTTCTCTCACAAGCTAGCTATGTAAAGAAAACATCAGGGTGGGAAAAGGAGGGGATTTAATTTTGTGACTGACAGTTCTAGCTTTTAACTGCTTAGAGATTTTACTATATTAAGCAGTCTAAAACTACCAGTAATAGAATGCATAAATAAATCACAGTGAATGGCTTTACTAGGACACTCTTAGTGCTTTTCATTACTTTTCTCTCCCAGCAACAGAAACATTAAAAGAGGTTTGTTGGAGTCTGGGACTTGGGAGGTCATAACATTTTGTGCTTGCTTGGAACATGCTGAATGTTCAAGTCCTTCTGCCTCTGCTGTTGTATGCTCTGCATCCATCCACCTTTTGTATTATATTTCTGTGACTTTGGTGCCGCCTGAACAGAAAACAAGTCTTCAGCAGAATTACCCAGCCCCTGCATTTGGCATTCTGAAATTTTCCAATTTTCTTCTGTAGGGACACCTCTGACAACGTGATGTAATGGTGAAGAGAGCAGGTCTGGGACTCAAATGATCTGGGTTCTAGTCCCCACCATAACCCCATGGAGCCACTAGGTGAATTTGGGGCAGTCAGAGACTCTCAGCCCAGCCTACCTCACAGGATTCTTGCTGTAGGGATAAGATTGAGAGCAACTGGAGGAGAATGATGCAAGCCACTCTGAGTTCTTAAAAAAAAGAAAAAGGCAGGATATAAATATAATAGATAAGGCCATTTTCCTACAAATTACCATAAAACCTGAGGCGGTGACTAAGAGCAAGGGACTCAAATTTCTTTCCTCAAATTTGAGGATTTCTCCTTCATAAACACTGCACCTGTTCTTTTGTAGCTTGTTGGTACACCCTGGATCTATTCATCTGAAAGTTAGCAGACTCGATCCTTTCAGAAAGAACAACTACCCTTGCAAATTTCATTCACTTCTGCCAAGAAATAAGGAAATTATCAGCACTTCCTTTTTTATGAATGCAAGTTTTAAAGATTCAGTGCACAGCACCCTGATTTGTTGTCTGAATTTGTCTGAAATTTTGTAGGAGTAACAGCCCTTCTTTCCCATAAGGAATGATTATATATGCAAATTTCATTCAGTTCTTACAAAAGGGGGAAATGTTGATTTCCAATTATACTACATTTGGGAGCTTGCAGGATCTGGATTTCCAAACTGAGATTTGGAGTCAGACCGAGTTTGATACAGACTGCTGCTGAATTGGTCTGTTTTCCAAATTAGGGTCCAAATGGGATTGCTAAATTGGAGTCTGAACTGATTGTAGTTGGTATATACTTCTAGTACACATGGATTAAAATTTCCTAAAGTTTTAATTGATATTCAGATAAGTGTCACCAGCTCATATGTAGAATGCCTGTTCTGTACTACCACATGCACACCCAACTGGTATGCTGCTACTGTAGCTGTGATGTTCTCCATCACAGTATATGGTTGTTTCATCCCTCCTTGTGTCTTATAATGTGAGGTGTTTTACTAATCAATTTAGATGGGTAACTTAAAGTTAAACATGGAAGCCAAATGCCTAGCTCTAAGAGCAAGTCACCCATGAAATACTCAAGCAGAATTTTAGCATCTTTTTCATAAGCTTTCAAGAAATGGTTCAGTACCCATATAACAAAGGTTCTTCAGGGCTTTGAGCTAAGAGTTTTGTTTATACTGGATAATCCAACGTGTCCTGTTCAGGTTCATAAGATTCAAACTGTTTCCTCCATACTTTGAACAGCAGAGCCACTTGTTTGCAGATAAGTAATGCTGATAATTTGGGGCTGAGGGTGTTCAGATAGAATTGGCTCCTTAGGTGGTTAACGTATTTGCTTAATAAAGATGTTAGAAAGAAATTTCTTTTAATTCCTCATGTAGATATGTAAATTGGTACCAAACATTTCATACAGATAGTTGCTTACTAATATTTCCACTTTTTTGATGTGCTGTGAGTTCAGCTTTTTTGCGTGATACTATAGAAGCCAGATGGATTCTGGAAAAAAAAAGTTTAGTTTAATGTGCAGCAGAATGGTATTACTGCCTGCTGTGATCTACTTAATTCTGTTATATAAGTCTTCCCTTTAGCTTATTTTTCTTAAATGTATTGATACAAGCCAAATGATGCTGTAACATTCCCATTTCTTCTGACCTACATTTTGTAATACTAACAGGAGTCATCCAGTCAGAAATGGGAATCCAAGATACACAGTCATCTTCTCTGATTTTCTACCTAGTCGCATATAGTCTTCCCTACAGCCCTAATTCGGGACTGCGGGTGGCACAGTGGTTTTTACTGCTGAGCTGCTGGCTGGTTGATCAAAAGGTCAACCGTTTGAATGCCAACCTTACAGTTCGAAAGCATATAAATGCAAGTACATGAATAGGTACCATTTCGGTGGGAAGGTAACAGTGTTCTGTGCACTTCAGTGTTTAGTCATACTGGCCACATGACCATGGAAACTGTCTGCAGACAAACGCTGGCTCCCTTGGCTAGGAAACAGAGATGAGCACCACCCCCAAGAGTCAGACATGACTGGACTTTAAAGTCATGGGGAAACCTTTACCTTTACAGCCCTAATAATGTTAGCTCAACGTTTCTTGGTTTCTTTCATCTACATCGGCCACAACAGCCTCCTTGGTATTTCTATCCAAGGGCGTGGCTAGGAGTAGTCTCATGTTTTTGTTGCTTCTTTGTTTCTGCAATTTATTTATTTATTTATTTAAACAACTTATATGCTGCTCCATCGCATGAGCCTCGGGGCAGCTTACAATCATTAAAATTACATATAAAATACAAAAAAAATCATACATAAATAAATACAAAAGATAAAATAAAATAAAATAGTGGATCCAGCCTGGTCAAATAAACCATTAACAATTAAAATAGCTTTTAAATAAAAAGGTCTTGGCCTGGCACCGAAAAACAAATAACGACGGTGCCAGGCGGACCTCTCTGGGGAGCACATTCCATAGGTTGGGCAGCACCGCAGAGAAAGCCCTCCTCCAAGTACTCACCCTCCGAATGTCCTTCACGGAGGGTTCCCGGAGGAGGACCTGTGCCACCGATCTTGGGGCGGGAGGGCATATATGGACGTAGGCGCTCCTTTAGGTAACCAGGGCCTAAGCCGTTCAGGACTTTGTAGGTGATAACCAACACCTTGAATTGGGCCCGGACTTCAATGGGGAGCCAGTGGAGCTGACGGAGGACTGGGGTTATATGAGAACAACGCCCAGTCCCCGTCAGCAGCCTGGCAGCTCTATTTTGTACCAATTGAAGTATCCGGACCATCTTCAGGGGCAGCCCCACGTAGAGCACGTTACAGAAGTCTAATTGGGAAGTGACCAGTGCATGTGTCACTGTTGTCAGGCAGTCGTTCTCCAGGTAGAGATGCAGCTGATGGATCAGCCGAAGCTGAAGGAAAGCACTCCTCACCACCGCTGTCACTTGATCTTCCAACGATAGCTCTGGGTTGAGGAGCGCTCCCAAGCTGTGGACCCTGTCCTTAAGAGGGAGTGCAACCCCATTCAGGACAAGGTCAGAGTCCCCCATTCCAGAGCCCAATCCACCTACCAACAGGACCTCTGTCTTGTCTGGATTGAGCTTCAGTTTATTGGCCCTCATCCAGCCCATTACCTCAGCCAGGCACCGGTTCAGTACAGCCACTGCCTCACCTGGATTGGTAGAGAACGAGAGGTAGAGCTGGGTATCATCAGTGTACTGATGATTCCGCAGCCCACACCTCCTAATGACCTCTCCCAGCGGTTTCATGTAGATGTTAAATAGCATGGGGGACAAGATGGAACCCTGTGGAACTTCATGGCATAGATGCCATGGCGCAGAGCTATAGTCCCCCCTTTCTAGGAGCTATATTCTTATCAGCTGCATCAAAACCTGATACTTACATAAAATACAAGGATTATCTTCACTTTTAATGTGTGAACTTAGGGTTGGGGAATTGTATTCAAAAATTTCTGAAAATGGTTTCCTCTTCACCAGTTGGAGCCGTCAGATGATTTCAGTTCGTGAAGCCAAAGCCATTCCAAGACCTGATGGTATTGAATGGAGAAACAAGTTCATTTGTGTAGAAGGTAAATTTTACGGCTTCGTTTTAACTTGAATATTTTGGCAGGAGGTAGCTATATATAAATAACCTGTTGGAATAAACTGCATATATGGTGGTGGTGATTTGCAAGGTGACAAAGCTCTAAACTGGGATTCTCTGTGAATATAATACCAGAGCATGTTTGGCATTATATGAATAAGCAGTGAGGCACTTCAAGCTCACACATTTCCTGCTGTCATTATGTGTGGTAATGTGTAGTAAGTTCCAGTACAAATTCATGGTAAATAATTGTTAATTTGATATGAACATGCCAGCTAGGACTTGCCCCAGGTTAGGAACTGGAGGTTAGAAATTGGAAAAAAGATGAATAAGTAGCAGTGTGTAACCTAAAGGGTTGTTCTCCTAAGTCCAAATCATTGTTTGGCAGCATGTCTGAACAGTGTAAATGTATTAAGATAATAGTTTAAGTATGTGCAATACTGCACTGTTCTTTCCCATTCAACCCTGCTCAATTTTTATGAAGCCTGTCACTACCCATACATTGGGAAGTGCAAGAACTCATCATGACAGTGTCCATAGCCATGTTCCCTAAGGGAAATCCATGATCATGACCACAGGACATATTTCATGCTTCTGTAAGCTAACACTGTCCTTATAAACACTTCCATAAAGCACAGACACCCAAAATCAAGCACTGATCTTGCAATTCAGTTTGAAGAATGACTTCAATCCTCTGCATAATTACCTGGGGTTAGCTCAGTTGAACTCAGTGATGCTTAGGGTGGTTAAAACAAAATGGATTTTTAAGGTGCTTCAAATGGATCTTTCCAAATTGGCAAAATGGGCATCAAAATGTTAAATGCAGTTCACTGTAAGCAAAGGTAAAATGATGCAGGTTGGAACAAGTAGAAGCTGATGGGGTCTGGCCCAGTGGTGACTGACTGAAAAAATGATCTTGGGGTTTTGGTGGACTGCTCAGTGAAGATGTCCACCCAGTGAGTGCCTGCTGTGAAGAGGCCAATTCCATGTTTGATATAATTAAGAAATTGAAAATGAAATTGCCAAGATAATATGGTACAAACATACAAATAATGCTGTGTATTATTCTGGTTACAATAGAATATTGTAGAATGGAAATGGTGCAGAAAAGAGCAACTAGGACTGGAAGAATTCCCCTACAAGTTAAGGGATTTTTTTAGCTTAGAAAAAAGGCAAGTAAACAGTAATATGATAAAGGCATGCAAAATCAAGTATGTATGAAGAAAATGGATAGGTGGCATTTTATGCCTTCTGTTATACTAGAACCTGGGATCAACCCATGAAGCTGATTGGTAGGATATTCAGGACAGAAAAAGAAACAAGTGAGACTTGGCCTCAGATTTTAGTTAAAACTATGAAATTTACTAACAGAAGAAGTAGTGATGGTTACAAATCTGAATTGCTTAAAAAGAGAATTGGACAAATTTATGGAGGATAAGGCTATTAATTATTATCAGACATCTGCCTATGTATTCAGTTGCGAGGAAACTTGGCAGGGGTGTTCAATGCATGTCTTGCCTGTGGCTGGTTGGACACTGTGTGAACAGAATGCTGGTCTAGATGGACCCTTGGTCAGATCCGGCAGGGCTCTTCTCATGTTCTTTAATTGCAAGGGCTTCACATAAACACTGAGAAGTCATAGTGGCCTTTCTATGTGACGGTCATAGAACTTCTGGTTGGTGAGACCACAAATTTAGGACATACTGAGTATCACTTCTGGAAATAATGGACTCCCTAGCTGACACTTGGGTCACATGGAGCAAATAGGCCTAAATTGTTTTAATCCAGTTCTGCCTACTAGGACAACTGAAACTTAGTGTTGGAAGCAAGCACTTGGGAAAATAATGTTGATATCCTTTTAAACTGTATCCATCTTCAATACAATAGTGCCATCTGCCCACACATGCAGCACACTTAAATACGTTTTTATTCTAAATATCTATGTTTACACAGCAGTGGGCTGCCCCAAAGCTTTGGATGTTTTCTCCTTTCACCCTTTGATATAGTTTTTCCTTGTTCACTTTTAGATACGTTTTTATTCTAAATATCTATGTTTACACAGCAGTGGACTGCCCCAAAGCTTTGGATGTTTTCTCCTTTCACCCTTTGATATAGTTTTTCCTTGTTCACTTTTAGATTATTTATCCTGGAGAACTGTGCATAATTAAGACACTCAGGAATGTGTTGCTGCTCTTTCTATCCATTCAAGCAGAAACAGTGTCTTGAGTAGGATCCAACTCTTTATAACAACATAAGAGCTACGGTGAATCAGGCAAAAGGTCTGTTTAGTCCAGTATTCTGTTCCTTCAGTGGCCAGTCAGTTGCAGTAGGAGGCCTACAAGTGGGATATGACTGCAACAGCACCACCCCACTCATGTTCCCCATCAGCTTCTGTACAGAGGCATGCAGCATTTGATACTGGAGGTAGGCTTTGATTGCCTTATCCTCCATAAATTTTTCCAAACGCCTTTAGAGCAATCCCAGTTTGGTAGCACTGCTACATCTTCTGTTTATATACTCTGTCAAGATAAGCATGCACAACTGCAGTGAAATTGTATGTGGGAAGGCTACAGAATATGTTAGATTACTCAACACTATGTTTATGAATTCCATAGAATCATAGAATTTGACAAGTTGTTTGAAAACAACATGCCAAATACATACATACATGCCAATAAGTGAGATGTAAATAAATTGCAGTGGAAAGAGATTTCACTTTAGCCTTCTCTTGGAAAAGAGAAAAATGGCCTTACATTTAATATATCCTAAAAGCAATCACCTTCATATACCCTTACTGATTCCAGTGAAGCATCTCATGAGTGAATACTTATAGGGCTCTTTCTTTAGATAAGCTTTAAAAAGATAGCAAATGCCGCATCACTTATAATCTTTTTTTAACCTTTCAGAACCTTTTGATCGAACAAACACTGCCAGAGCAGTACATGAAAAACAGAAGTTTGATATTATCGTAGATGAATTTCGCAAGGTAAAAACATGCAACAATCCAATAAAGCTTTACACAAAACTTATTACATATAAACATTTTTTTGAGGAACTTTTTTCTATGAAAAAAGATCTGGTGTCTATATCTGCTGTATTGATTTTGTTAAGTAATTAATGCTGGGGCTTTTTTCTCATGGCTGAAATCCAAAGAATAGCAACTTGGGATTTTGATCTTGTGTTTCTCAGGCAGCAGCTCCCAGTGTCCCATGGCAAATGACTTGCAAAGTCATCAAGGACTTCTAGAGCAGCTCGCTATGCAGAAAATGCACCCATTGGTCAAAAATTTTTTAAAAAAAAATAGCTTTGGGGCATGCCTAACCCTTTAGTTACACACAGCCAGCTCTTTGGATCCTAGCCTTATACATTTATGTCATATAATGACTACTCTCATGTAACTGATCAGAGTGTCATGTTGTTAATACATTTGCCAGAGGAGTAGCCATGTTAATCTGGGTGTACAAAGAACTAACAATTTTGTGGCAAATTAAGGGTTATCAAATCTATTTTATCATATATTCTCATGGACTACAGTGTTTTCCATCAGAAGGATTAAGTTTTATTAAGAGATTCAGATAGAGTACACATGGTTGGGAGGGAGACACATTTAATATATTGAATGCTAGTTAACTTGCCTTGTAATACAAATTATTTATGAAGGTATTTTGATGATAATTGGCCTAGATTTTTGTACAGATGTACTATATTGTAGACTATGGACATGAGGCCTCTGACCTATGGAGCTTCCTTGAATTTCTTCAGCAGGTGTGACTTGGCCTCCAAGCCCCAGCTGTGGAGGTGTCCCTTCTGTTATTTCCAGTCAAGGGATAACAGCACAAATGTGGCATGAATGAAGTGGGACACTTGGCAGGCAGAGTCCTTTTTGCTGTGCTTAGAGGGGCATAGAACTCCATACCCATCTTAGCATGGAGAAGGACCGAGCAAGTGTAGCCAATGAGGAGAGATTATGTGAATTGCAGGCCAAAACATCTAGAGGACTACAAGTTGCCTACCCCTGCCTTAAAGAGAAAAGCTCTCCTTTAACTTGATGTAAAACTTTGACTTCCTGTATGCTTCCTATATACAGAGTAGTAAAAGTTAGAGACAACTGTATTTCTAACTTGCAAAGTCATTTTGCTGCACAATCCTTGTTCAAGGATAGACTGGACATGCACATGGGAGACATGTCGTGAGCAGAGCCATCTGGGCCCAGGGTCAGACTAGATGGCCCAAAGGCCCCTTCTTACTTGCTCTGTTTCTTTGTTTCCTTAGCCTGGATCCAAATTGCCTCAAAACAATTTCAGCACTGCAAGAGTTTTCTGGCTATATGTTTCTAGAATGGCATTCCCATGAGCTACATTTTTATTCTGTTTTGACTGTGTAAGTTACCCTAGGAACTTGTTTGATGGCAGGGCAGAAATGTAGAATAGTACATGGAAATCAGTTTGCAATATCTGAAAAATGTGTTGCACTATTAAGCATGGTTAACATGCAAGTGTTGGTTTTATGCTAGCACAAGCATATTGTTGCATCCTGTTTCTTAAACCCAAGGTAGGTGTCAAAATCAGTTTGATCTAGCAAGAAGGTCTGTCTTGATGCTGTCCTTCATACTACTTTAACCTTATTTTAATTGCAAGTGTTATGATTGCTTTTGTAATAAAGCCTTTAATTGTATGGGGATATCCTTCTATTTATAATATGTTTTGTTCTATTCTATAGTCATGGCAAAGACTGAGAGACAGGAGGGATTTGAACTGTATACTACCTTTAAGAGACACTATACGGAAAAGATGATTGGCTTCTCTCTCCTTAAATGGACCCTTCTGGAATATAGTATAAAAGGACATTATCAAACCCCAGGATGCAGTTTTTTCCTTTTACCCATGGCACTTTTTTAAGAGGAGGATTTTCTTTTGGATTTTTGTTAAGAAAACTTTTGTAAGAATTTAAAAAAGGCTACCTTTATGAAATTTATTAAAACTATACGAAGATTGGCTTTCTGAAACAGATTGAATCAGTGACCAATAAAAAGACTGCTGTAGTACAAAATGTCGCAAATCTGTTGGGAGTTTGATTTATTGTTACCGTATAGTGGTTGACTAAGCCACACTAAATATTGAAATGTAAAGATGAAGAATTGTGCAAAGTACAATAGCCAGGTTGTGACCTTAAAGCATAGTGTATGGTGCATGTTTCCTTAAGAGTAACTACTCCCTGCTTTACAATAAGCACTTTGGCTCACCTTGGCTCTTTCTATTTTTTTCATATTGTGAGTAACAAAATCTTTATAGCAAGGTAATAGCTTGGTCTTAAATAAGGCTGTTGATTTGGCTCTGTTCTCAGTGAGTTGGTAAATTTGTGCTTGGTCTGCTCCCACTTTGTTTGCATATACAATTGACAAGATTAAATATTCCTCCATATCAGAGAATTACCCCCAAATGTAAAACTATATATCAGGTAGGTTGGAAACTTTCTGATGCTTAGTTTTCTATGACAATTTTTTAAACATGATAATGTGAAGCCACACCATTATTCACAAATGCCACAAGTTGGCATGCAGCTTTGCCCTCTCACTGAAAACTTCTGAATCTTGGAAATTGTCATCTTAGCTGGGGGGTTTTATGCAGCAGAGCTACTCCAGGGAAGTAGCTGCAGTAATAATTTGGATAATTTGTGTTAGGCTTGTAACATGTGGCCTGTCAGCCATTTATGGCAACAGTGCAGCCTGTCAGCTTTTTAAGGTAGCCTGCAAGGAGTTCGCTAAACCCCCTGTGCATTCTGCCCTCCTGCAGCTGCAATAATCCTAAGATGCTGAGCATTTTGTGTGCTGCATAAAGCATGGCTGGTGGGCTGTGTCTAGCTTCATACCCAGCCTTTGATTGATGGGCCAACTATTTTCTGTAGTATATGCTTAACATTAATTTCAGGCAAGTGGTGGCTTTGAATATTACATGGATATCACATAAAGCAGGTGGAATGGAAAAATATAAGAAAGAGTTCTCATTCTTCTTTACAGCACTTCTAGTATCCTGTTTAAAAATAAACTTGCAAAAATAGTACCATTGCTTGTACATCCTTCCTCCAATGTTCCTGTACAAGAAGAGGTGTAAGGAAATGTGACTCCTTCACACTTTCCCACACCCCTCTGCTTTGTAATAAGATGTGAACCCACCTGGATGAGGCCCTCTCCTACAATTTTGTCGCCTTTCAAATAAAGTAGTAGTGATGACTGCTAAGAATAGCTGCTACAGTAAGCCAAGTTTTTTTTATTTCTGTTCCCCTTTTTGTGTAAATATTTGTAAATTGGTCAGCTGCTATATAAATTGGGATTTTAAAAATTTTAAATTTTAACTTTTTTTTTCAAGACGTATGGGACTTCTTTTAGATCTGCTGTAGCACAATTTGTGCCTCATATTTATTGCAGACCAATTCATATGTTAACAGATGTTATTTTTCACTGATGTCAAGCACATTTTTTTCTTTAAGTTTAATATTTCTATTGCGTTAAGTGGAATAAAGTTTCTGTACTGAAATAAAACTGCCTTTTGTACATGTGACCTTCTAATCAGCTGTTTGAATATGTTTGGTGGTTTGCCTAGTAATATTGTGAAAAAAATGTTTGAACAACCAAACTATGCATTTTTTGAATTTGCACTTGTTTAGTTTTGTATGCTAGACTTTCTTACTTTTGACCTGGACCAGGATACGTTGCAATTAGGTTCATCTTCACAAACACACACACTCATGTACACATCCCTTAACTTCTTGGTGGTTGGGTGTCATAATGTATTGGTAAAGGATTGCATGTTCCACTTATGGGGTTCACTCAAGTCATACACTTTACAGCATGGGTCCTCAAACTACAGCCCGTGGGTTGGATCTGGCCCACCATGCCCATATATCCGGCCTGCCTCAGAGGTTTTGAACTCGCTTGGAGAAAACAATCTCAGAGCAAGTCCAAAAGAATGCCGGCACAGGCATTCTTTAAAACGGAGCAGAGAGAGAGCTGGCGCATGCCCAAATTGCAACAGCTCAACTGTGTGTGTGCTGCCCCCCCCCCCCCACATTGCACACATATACAGAGCAGGAATACGGAGCGGGAAACAGAAGAGAGGCGGGCATGAGAGAGAGAGATGAAGACAAACTAAAGAAGGTAAGAAAAATACTTTTTAAAATCTATTTTTAATTATGCGAGCCCGGGTGCGGCATTCTCTGAGGGAGCAAGCCGCCGCCACTGCTGCCACCTTGCCAAGCCCGGGGCGGACAGGCTGAGGTGGAGCAGCTTACTCGAAGAAAGCCACAGGGGAGAAAACTTACTCGGAGAAAGCTGCTGAGCTCCTGCACCTTCACTGTGGCCTTCTCCAAGCAAGTGATCAAACATTTTTTAATTGTTTTTTTTAAATTTAATTGATTTTTTGAATTTATTTTAATTTTAAAATTTATTTTAATTTTAATTATTTTTTTAATGTGTAGTCTGGCCCCCCAACAGTCTGAGGGAGAGTGCACTGGCCCCCTGTTGAAAAAGTTTGAGGACCCCTACTTTACAGCCTGAGGCATGGTACTGACCTGGGAAGTGACCTAGTAATCCGCTTGACATGATTGATAGTTGCATACCCAATTAACATAACATGGATGTCAACCAACAAGAAATGGCTTTTCAGCAGTAATCATAATGCATCAGTAACATAAAGTTGGACCTGAGTGTCTGGTTGTAGTAGATTTTCTAGATTAGACTATATAACAGTTTTGTGTAGAAGCAGAGGATAGTATCCAGTGCAAGACAAGTGCTAATGTAAATTATGGTGCACAAGCATAAGGGAATTCTAGTGCAACGCCAATCCCATTCGCTGGTATGGCAGGTTTTGAGGGAAATATTGATGTTGCGCTATAGATCCCTTATGCTAGTGCAACATAATTAACAGTTTGTTGTACTGGGGGGATGGGTCAGACGCAACTTCACAACTAACAACAAATTCTGCCCAGAGGTGACTAATGTTGAATGCATTTGCACCTTGGAAAATGGCTGTTAACAAGGTTATCTTTTGCAAAATTTGGTAGCTTCTGACTGCTGAACATCCTGCAATGAACCTGCAGGAAAGTTAGTTTAGAGCTCATGATTTATTTTCAGATCAATCAGAGTTGCTGAATCTGCACAATATTGCACCAGGTGGCTACAAGTCATAATTTCACACAGTGTGCACTGCTTTCTAGGAATAAGGGGCAATCAGCACTCTGATTATTGTATTCTTTCCTTGGACTCAATCTGTAGAAACCAGGATTGTTTTCTAGCACCAAAGGATTTGCTTCTTGATTTACAACAGGCAGTTTATTTTAAAGGGCCACATACAAAGGAGTAATTCAGAAGCAAATGAGTAGTGCCGAAATCAGAAGGAGGCAGCTAATTTAGAGTTATCAGCCTGATTGGCTGATGCCTGGGTAACAGGACTGAAGCCTGAGATAAACCTACCCTAGGGTACAAGCTGTATAGCAGCCGCAGCAGAATGAATATCTGCACATGATCCTATTTTATATTTCAGATTATACTCAAAACATGCTGGTCTTGGCAGATGATACACTGTGTAGTCACTATAAATAATCATACTATGTGCGAGCTAATTTTTACCTTGCCTGTGCTTTGGACAACCCTTGTTCAGTGATATGGAGCACTATAGGAGTGTGTGTGGGGGGGGGGGGTCAAAGTGACTGCTCAGAACACCCACATAACATACTTTTGGAGGGCAGTGGTGGCTGCAACATTGCCCACTTCTGTTTGAACATACTGCAAAATTTAAACATGGGACTTTGCTCTCTAGAACACCTAGTGGAACTCTGTAACATGAAGGAATGACTTCAGTCTTGGATTGCTTGTTCAATTTGCTCCAGGAAATCATATCCCTGTTAGGTGACAAGTTACTGTTCTGCAGCTTTTAGTGTCCCAGCTTTACTTGCCTGAAGCAAACTTATCCATAGCAACTCAGCTGTCCTGCATCCCATCCTTGCTGGATGCTGCTTTTGAGGCAAACCAGGAGTCCTGTCTGCTTCCAGGGCCACCAGTTACAATGTATATCTAGTGCCCTGTAGCTATAGCTTGATCAAGGCTAGAAACACCCAAGTCTGCCACTTGTTTATGAAAGGGCTGATGTTGACTGTATACTGTCTTGATAAACAAGGAGGTATTAGGACCCAGCAGCAAGTCAAAGGTGGCAGAAGCCGTAGTTTGATATTTCAACTTTCCCTTGTTCTATTTAAAGACTTTCCTGAGTCAGGAGAGCTGAGCTCTGTGGATGACAGTTTGCTTCGGGCAACCCTGGAGACGCTTGAGTAGAGGGGAGAAAACACGGCAAGAAGACTAACCAGGGGACAAAATGGAGACCAACTGCAACTCAGACTATGATGGATCACCTGATGTTTCTGTGGAAGAGGAGGAAGATGAAGAGCCACAAGAAGAGGGGCTTACTTGCAGGTACAAACAAGCAAACATAATGTATTGCCTGTCAAAAAAAAGTTCTGGGAAGCTAGAAAGGAGGCATGGCTTTCTCAAAATCCAGGGTGTCATTTAAGGAAATGAAAGTTTTAAGAATAAGGGGACATTTTTGATGGAGCTGAATACAGCTGGTTGCAATTCTGAAGGAGCCTGGTCTGTGCACCAAAGGCATGTTCTATTTAAGGATCCTGTGCTGTGCCAGTTAGACTGGCATCTCCTCCTGCTCCTCCCTTCCTAGCTGGCTAGTCACTACATAGCAGTGTCAGTTACTCTAGGGGTATGGTCAGTAAGGAGTGCAAGAGACTGAAATGAGTGAGTCCTAAAAGCAGGTCTGAATTTTGTTTTGTTGAACACCTATCACTGTGTAAGGAAAGGTGTAACTTTAAATTCTAGGGATCAACTTGCTTTTTGGAAAAAAAACAGGGTGGTTTTGTAAATGAGTTTGGAGACTACAGGCCTTTTACTTTCACATGCATGATTTGTTCAGTCCAAGTTGCACTAAAAATGGGACAATTACCTATTTCGTCTACCCACCTGCTGAGCAGAGTAGGTTTACCCTTTGCATATAGGGCAGGCCAACATTTGGGAAAGGGGAGAATGGCAGAAATACATCTAACAGGGTTGAGCAATTTGTGGCCCACCTGATGTTTTGGTCCACAACTCCCATCATCCCTTGCTGATATAAGCCAGTGATGAGGCAAGATGAAGAACTGCATGCAGCCTACTAATTTTGCTCAGAATGGTTTCAACTACAAATTTAGACTCTAATTATTAACCATGAAAGGGAATGTTGATTCCTTGGTCCTGTTCCATTTCGTTGTGGAAGCAGGCACTGTCATTTCTGATGACATACAAAACCTAGCACTGAAAACACTGTGACCTAAACAGCTGGAGCAGGGACCTTGTAATATAAAATTGAGTCCTTGGACATCCAGTAGAAACTTCTTGCTCAAGAAAGGCAGATGGGAAGCCAGACACTACTTAAATCTTGCTGCTTTGCTCAGAATCTTCACAGGGCGCTGCTCTAGAATGAATATTGATTTATTGATTTTAAAATTTGTGTATCCTGTCCTTTACAGTGTCTCAGTACAATGGCCAGTACAATATTGAAATTGTCCTTTGCTCTACTGGAATGAACCATTTCTCCTTCCTGTTACCACTCTTGACTGGGACAGTACATCTCTTAAATATGTCTGCAGGCTACTTTTTCTGTGTATCAGGAATGAGACTTTTGGAACAGAAATGACGGGGAGGTATGAACTTGGGAACTATTTCCCAAGCCAAGCCTGACTGTAAGAAGTACTGGACATTGTTTTTCTGGTAAAGCTGGTGCAAGATAGCTCCTCTTCACCAAAGCATAGCAAACCAAGCAAAGTTAGCTGGGATCATTCATCCTGTGAACTGGAACACCCTTGAAAGAAACTCATGGGGAGGTAACAGAAACAGGATTGGAACTTTTCCAGAAAGCAAATGCTATTGACAAAATACAACAAATAGCAATTTAGTCATCGATTATGAGAAACTTGCCAGATGTGGGAAGAGATGGAAAGAAAGAGAAGTGTTGTGAGGTGAGAGCTGCAGCTTTGCTTCTGAGGAGAAAGGGAAAGGAAAAGGGTTTTGAAGAAACCTGTTTTGAAGAAAGCAGGAGAGAAGAATAAGAAAAATGTTAGAGGAAAATAAGAGAAAAGGAAAGATTACAGGCACTTCACTATTGTTCCATCAGGAGACTGGACAAGAAGGTGTTGATTCAAGGGTGCATATCAAAAACCCAGCTGGAAACTCAGAAATATAACCAGGGGATGGGGGGAATTGAGTCTAGAGAAGAATGAACTGGAACCCAAGAGCTCCTAAAGCAGTTATTATTTATTTCATTACTATCTCACCCAGTAGGCAATGATCTTTGGGCAGTTTACAACAGTATGATAAAAATGCAATAAAATATCTAAAATATTATCAATAGACACACATAACCCCCCCCCCAGTTAAAAACATATAACAAATAATGATGCCCTGTTACAAATTTTTTACTAGAGAATTGGGTGGTACCTGGAAATAGCACAAAAACAAGATAATTATATTGTATATGTTCAACACAATAATGAATAGTCTTAGTTCACTCTTGGTACTAGTACTAACTATGCCAAGAGAGAGTTTGAACCAGAAACTTGAAGCACACAATGATTTTCTCTCTGTATCAAGACATTTACCAGTTCACCTTTTCAGGCAGAGTGAAACCTTTGGGAATCTGCGTGGTTAGGGACACACAAAATGGCAGCTCTCTTGGCAGCAATTTCCCTTGTAATTAGGACACTAACTCCTTAGTAAGTTTCCCCAAGTAATTTTGGTCTGGTGGCAGCAGCAGGAAGTTGATGTTTTTGATCAGAACTGGGGGAAATATGGCACTCCATATATTGTTGGACTGCAGTTTCCATCAGTTTCATCCAATCTGGCCAGTGGTATAGGACTATGGGAACTGTAGTTTACTCACATCTGGAGAGCTGCACATTACTGATCACTCCTCTAGATCATAGAAACTCCATGCTTTCCACTTCATCCTTCTGACCAATGTTAGCAAGCCAAGGGACAATTTAGATGGATCAGGTTGTCGCATGGCAATCTGACACACCTATGGAGTATGGCAAAGACCACAGTTGGAAATGAAGAGCCAGAGGGGCTTTTCCTGAGTAAACATTTATTTATTTATTTATTTATTTATTTATTTATTTATTTATTTAAAAACATTTCTATGCCACCCCCATCGTAACAAAGCCTCAGGGCGGCTCACAACAAAAACAAAAACAAACAAAATCATATAAAAATTTATACCCTAAAAATATTAAAACCCAGTGCATCTCGGCTTAAATTTTTTTTTTAAATCCTCCATAATAAATTAACACTTTAAATTAGGTTTAAATAAAAAGGTCTTAGCCTGGTGCTGAAAAACAAATAACGACGGCACCAGGCGGACCTCTCTGGGGAGCGCATTCCATGGATGGGTCGCCACTGCAGAGAAAGCCCTCCTCTGGGTACTCACCCTCCTAATATCAGTCACAGAGGGTTCCCGGAGAAGGGCATCTGTTGCTGATCTCAAGGGGCAGGAGGGCATATATGGACGCAAGTGTTCCTTTAGGTACCCAGGGCTTTATAGCGTTGAGGGCTTTATAGGTACATAGGATCATGATGTACAAATAGTAACATTTGACATCATATTCCTTTAATTAAAAATAAGTAATTCATTCATCATATTCATTTACTTAAAAATAAATCCCACTGAAAACAATGGGGCTTAACTCCCAAGCACGCACAGAAATGCAGATTTTTTTTCTTTTATTAAACCATTGTGCTTATTTATTTATATATAGCCCTTGCTTGCATTGTCCACTTCTTCCTTCAAAGAAATGAGTTTTTTGCCTCAGAAGACTCATCCAGCAGTAATTAAGATGTCACAGGATGGTCTGAAATACTTTCTGGTTTACAATCTAGTGTGCTACATTGCTGTGACATTGCACTTAAGATCACCATATGAAGATAATTAAGTTTGACATCACAGCAGTGAAGCAGCTTTTATTAAAAAGAATTTTGTAAGAAGTCCACATTAAATTGGGGTGCAAGGCAGCACAGATAAGATTCAGTCAACGTCATCCTGCTGCTTATTATTTTTGTAGTATTTCTTGTGTGCAGAACACTTTACCATCCATTAATCCTCACAGCATTCTGTAAAGCCGATTACTGTAATCCCCCCTTTCACTGCTGTAACCCTGAAAGTGAGTATGAGTTGAGCAATGTAAGAATAGCCCTGCTAGATCACACCGAGGGCCTACCTAACCTAGCATCCTGTTTCACACAACAGTTAACTAGATGTCCCAACAGAACGCCCACTTGCAGGACATGACGTACTTAAGCCTGTAAATCATCCTGGAGGTATAGGACACGATTGAAATTCTTACATGTTTCATCCAAAGACATCGATTGGTTTTCAAAGGGAGAATCCACCAAGCAAGTTGCTGTGCAAACTTCATTTGTTTTTATGGGAGACATGAAGGTCTCTTGTGCTTGCTTTATGGCAATGACTGTAAATTGCATAGTAACTGTTGGGCAATGAGTTCTGTGGCTCTTCTGATATTCACGTTGCTGGTTATCTTGGGTGTCTCCTTTCTAATGTAATGACAACACTGGAGCATAAAACCAAGCTGCCCTACCCACTCCCAAATTTCATAGCCCTCTTACAGATTTTATATGATGTTTTATGAAACTGAAAAATAAAACATTTTAAAATGTAAATGTTGTGAAGTACATGTAGCACTGAGAAAATTCTCCTTCACTGTAAATTTTGTCATCCATTCTTAGAGCTTCAGGTTGTGTGATTGTCTTAATGATGAGAAGAAGGGAGCATTTTGCACACTCCAAGGTGTCCATTTCCTCTGTGGAAATGAATACTTCCCAATTACAACCATTGGGGTGTTTTCTCTCAAGAATGGGGTCCCACTCCATTTACGACAGTTTGAGAGTCTTCTCCTTTGGACAGTTGGCTATTATGAAAACAGAGAAAGTGTCCTTTGCCATCATCCAAGATCATATTGCAGATGTCTCCGTTTAGGCCAGGAGTTCACCTGGACATTGAGTTCATCCAGGCCTGGACATTGAACTAACCTTTTTTTTTGTGGGGGAAAATAAAGGGTACAGTTCATGAGAATATACAGGTAAGGAAATATAACCATTTAAGTTTGACCATCTTTGCAATAGAACAGCTTTCCCCAGGCTGATCCCCCGCAAGATGTGAAGTAAGATGACTATACTTCATCATCCCCAGCCAGCATAATAATTGGATATGTTGGTTGAGGATAACAGATTCTATATTCTAGCACACCTAGAGAGCACCAGATTGGGGAAGGCCACACTAAGAAAATTAATTACTGAAAACCTGTTCATTTTTTTGTTTAGCCTATTCTCGTAAAATCATCTGCATAGATAGATAGATAGATAGATAGATAGATAGATAGATAGATAGATATGGCTTTACATTACTTATACATAGTTTAATTAGGAAAATGGGCTCTCACTGTGTGCGCACAGTTTACACAGGCTAGTGGAGATGTGATTAATGGAAATGACTAATGTGACTTGAATGTGTTCAATATCTCTGGGAAGTCACCCAAGTAACCCCCATGCTTCTTTCTTCTAATGGTAGCAGTTATCACTTTTTTAAAACAAAATTTAGCCAGAAAGTCATCTTCAGGATGAAATTAAGTCAAATTAGGTATATGAGAACAGAAGAGTCAAGGATGCTGTGTTCTATTCTATTTTGCCTTATTGTTAAACCATCCTGAAACCATCTTATTGTTAAACCAGCTACAGCAAAGGACAGTCTAAAAAAGTCTTAAATAAATAAAGATAAGGTATCTTGCCATTCATTGCAAACTATTCTAGCAGTACAATCCTGTATTTGTCTACTCGGAAGTAAGCCTCATTCAGCTCAGTGGCACTTAATGCATAAAGGTGTTTAGGATTACAGCATGAGTGTGCTTATGACCCAGGTGTGCAAGCCACTGTTTTGCGGGCAGAGCTGCATTTTATGGAAGGGAGGGGAAGGGGCTGCCAAAATAAGCATTTCCATTTTCTGTCCTACTCCTGCTTCTGCTTCTGCTATAGCAGAGCAGTGGAGCCAGTGCTGACAGGGCCGATGCTCTGGGCCTGAGTAGCAGGGGAGATTATGTCATCTGCCACCTCCCACCCAAGATTCTGACATCCTTGATTTTTCTGAGCTTAGCTGCTCAACAGCTGGTGGGAGGAGGCAAGGAAATGGATTTTGCAAGTGGCAATGTAGCATTGTGAGCTATCACACACACACACACACACACACACAATATGCACACAATATGCACACACACATCTATAACGCCACACACCTGCCTGTTCTTTGGACTCTCTGGTGGTGGGACGATGGGGCCAGTCATGCCAAGTTCCTGCACTACAACAGTTACTGCTATGCCATTGCACCGCTGTTTTGCACAGCACTCTCTGGCTCCCGTGTGATTCACAGCCAAAGGGTTTGCCTGCCCTAGCCTGGCAGGTGTCTTGAGCAGGGCCACCAGTATGGTCCTTCAGCCTTCTCAACACACAGAAGCCACGCAGCATAAGTGGCTGACGAGGGCTGCCTGTAATAACATACAGATGCCAGATCATAGAATCACACTGGGACTATGTGATGGGACTGCTCTTGCCATTTGACAAGATGACCCACTGGTCTCTTACAGCTCTGATACAGGTATACATCTCTTAACCTGGATGCAATCCTGATTGTGAAGGAAATTGCCCTAATGTTTTGTTGCCTCCCTTTTGACTTCCTGCCAGAGCAAGGCTGGCCAACCTCATGCCATCCTGCACTACTGGGAAGCTTGGTTTATTCAGAATGAATTGCAGAAGAGACACTGATCAATTGCAGCAATCTGTTCATCAGTAAGCACCACACTAAAACGTGTGGAGTTGTGCTGCTATTACTGTACCTGCTTAATATTTCTTTAGTTAAGCTAGAAAGGAAGCCATGTAGGTGCTGGTTGTTCCAACATGTGTATTTCTGCATGTAGCTTTTATTCCCCTTTGCTTTTTGAGGTCCCCCCCCCTTTCTTCTTCCTTCTTCTTTAACTCTGGGACTGTAAAACAGGCCCAAAACATTATTTTCCAGCCTCAGCGGTCTGGTTTATGGTTGAGTTAATAACTCCCCTGTAGCCTTTTGCTCAAACTGAAGCATCATATGCCTGGATGAATGCAGGTAGACAGATACCCAACTCTGCAAGCGAGTCATTCTGTATCTTCAAATGTCTGGCAAAGCCTGCAGACGCTAATAACTTTGCTAACTTCAAGGAGACCCGTAGATTTGTTAGACAGCTCATGAATTTATGGCTGCCCTTACATACAAGTATTTGTAGAATCCAGGATCGCCTTGACTGCTCATGGCCTTTAATCAGAGCTAGCATCACAGATAGGCATGGCAGAAAAGCTGCTGGTTGCCCAGTGGTGTGGGGATCTCCATCTTTCTAAGGAC